AGAATGTATTTGAAAAAAAAGAGACTTTTTCGATCTTATGTCGTCTGTTTTCAAATATCCTGCAAAATGTTGTAGACATTTGTTGTTTTGATTACAGGTTGTTCTTTCATAAGTAATGGCCACCGAAATATTGCTGAATATTACCGACTCGGTGTGAAACAGTAATCAATCAATCAACTTATTTTTTCATTTCCAATGTCTTTGTTCGAGATAAAATTACAAATTGTTAATGTACTTCATTTCTCCATCAATGCACTGGTTCATTGATAGGCGCGGTTTAAAATAATCACGTGCAGGGCGGGACAAATAGAGACAAGAAGCGGGGCTTCTATAGCACGTGGATTGGCGGAATCAAGAGCATGTAAATAATAAGGAATAACTGTCTTATTTTTCATTTTCATGACCATGATCAATCGATTGGTTTGCATGATAATTTATGCATAAACGCCTTTGGCGTTTATGCAAATTATCACGCAAGCCAATCTATTGATCACATCATGAAATCGAAATAAGACAGTTATTCCTTAAATCAATCAATCAATTTATTATTTATCTTACTGGATAGGTCTTCTAGACCAAAACTTGGAAAAATAAGATCTACTTTTTTAAAATTTATTGTTATCTGCGAAATAGTATGAGCTCTTTGTGGGTTAAAACTTTGTATATCATTCCATTTTGTCATTTAAAACTCGATAAGATTTTTCACTTTACTATAACCCATCATTGCCTACATCGTAGACGACGGGGTGAAAACTGGTTTAGGAAACGAGTCACCGTCTTTCCTTACGGTAAAAATTTCAATCTCGATAGAAACATAGCGGGTTCTTGTAAAAAAAATAAATGTTCTACCTTAAACAATAAACTATGGTACAAAAAATCCTTACAAAGATACATAGCGGGTTCTAGTAAATGTTCTATACCGAGTCTCTTCTTTACTCCTCTTAACTAGAAAGATGTTATACACTGAAAGAAAAAACCTAGTGAATTTAACTATATAGTATGATTCGTATAGCGTTGGTTGTGATTAAGTAAACTTTCAGTTTACTGGTTAAGATAGTGAGTTGTGGAGCGGGGGTCGTATAGATACTTAGATACCTAGTGAAAGTTACTCATCAATTCTAAATTTACTAATCTTATCTAGTAAATATATCAATATCTGGTAAAACTACTATTAAGGTAGTGATTGTATGGACAGTGAATCTACTAGTTTTCTTCGTGACATTAACTATTTATTTTTTTTTTTACATTATATATAATGTTAATCTACGAGGGCTGTTCAACAAATAATGTCCTGAGGTCTATGTCATACAAAATAGAAATCATATGACATTAAGCTTGACTTTCTCGCATGATTGAATCTTAAATGAATTTTAAGATTCAACATTTTTGACCACATAGTTTCATTGTGAGAAGCTGGAAAACAAGGGCTATTTGAGACACTGCATTAAAAATGAATGGTAAAGAATCAGTAAACTAGAGTGAAATTAAACGCTTCATGAAAGAATCCAAAAGAAATATTCAGTGAAACATGTAAAATTTACAGCAACGAATGTCTGGATTTCAATGAACAGAAATTATATAATGAGTATCAAAAATGACACCGTCCTTGGCGACAAAGGCTTACAACAACCAATGTACTGTTTGCCAAAATTCAACAAATATCACTGATGTTTGATTGAATTTAGGCATCATTTTGGGGCTGGTTTACACTGTTTTAAAGAAACATTCGACAGTAAAAAGCGAAGTACTCAATGATCACCCTATGTTTTGAAAAATAAGTGAAAACGACAGCTAGTAAGAATATCCAAACAATTATTTTTAAAAATTAAAAATTGTAGTTATCCACGTTTGTTTGAAATTCAAACACATAACAAAACTTGAATCCATTGCTTTAAACCCTCAAAACAAATTTACAATAAAATGCACTTGACAAAAACAGCCAAGGTCTGAGAAGAGCAAAGAATTGTAAAAGAACAAAACAGTTTTATATGCCATTTTCTTGAATATTAGTGGTCTTGTTGTTTAAATTCTTATTCGGGGAAGCATTTCAATTTCTGGAGAATTCTAGAAAGCAATTTTTCATGTTTTTTGCAAAAAAAATCGAAAAGTTTATGAGAGAATGGAACCAGAATCAGGAATCCACTGCATTAAATCTCTTCACCAACACGCCAAGAAGAGTAAAGGAGTTTTTGGGATAAACAGAAAGTAAATGTTTTGTCACATCAACAATATTCGCCAGATCTTTCACCCTTTGACTTATTTTATTTCCAAACTTGAAAAAAAAACACATTTTAGAAAGAAGAAACAAGTCCATGAAAATCATATATAGGAACTGCCATATTTCAGTATACGAAGGGCCATACTCAAAAATGTGTTCTAAAAACAATCAGAAATTGGATAAAAATGTTATGTACGTGTGTTCTGATTAAAAGAGAATATTTAAGTGAAATCATTGAAAAGGTTTTTTTGTTTCCTTCAAAGCACCGAGGACATTATTTTTTTAACAGTCCTCATAACAAAACTGATAAACTTAATGACATTGCTCATTTTTTCAACTTTTCTAACTTTTGTAGCGATATACTCTCATCACCTGCTTATGGATTTTATGTTTCCCAATTAATTTAATAAGCAAGCATACATACAAACAATTTCTTAAACAAGGCAAACTACTGACAAATAAGTTGATAAAACAAGGTTATCAACACTCTCATTGGAAGTCAACAATTTGCAAAATTTATGCTTGATAGAATTATTTCTATAAAAACACATACATTTTTGTGTCGCCTGCTGAGAAGAGCGACACAAATAGATTACTTTACCTGGCGTCTGTCTGTCCGTCTGACACACCTTATATTTCGAGAACTGTAAGAAATTATGATACTTTGCACATAATTATATAGCATGACTTTATGACTAATCTTACCTTATCTCAGTAAAGACATGATTTATTAAAAAATAGAAAATGTAAAATAGCTTCATGGCTTGTGTGTTTTATCATCAAAGTTTTCGACGTAGTTATCCTTGAACTTCACCTTTGACCTACATTTTGAAATAGCTGACAGAGTCGATATACGACAACTTCTTTTTGATATTTAAGAGGTAATTCTTTGTTATTTAGAATGCGCACTGTTTGTCATGAAACACTTTGAAAAATACCAGCGGAAGAGTCCATTTGACCATGACCTTTGACCTACTTTTTACCAGATATACTGTAGAGGGTTAAATTTAACTTACGTCTTTTGAATTAAGAGAGACAGTGGTTTGGTAAATTATCATTTAAACATGTTTATTGGTTCATTACAATGTACTTTGAACACCACAAAAACTCAAATTTAAGTACTATTATACATCGAGATCGGTATACAACAATTGCGAGGCCTTTTTGAAGGGTTGTTGACATCACGTATTTATTGGTTGATAAATATTTATTTATAATAATTTAAATTTCATTAATATCCATTTTAGTTTTGAGGGGTTAAGATTTTAAGATTGATTTGTATTTCTCTTTGATTGTAAGATTCTATCGCAGGCTTTCTATCTATGGATTTTTTTTTTTGCAATGAGCTATATGCTAATAACACATAAATATTAAATAGTCGACCACTTTTATATCTAGTTACATGTATATCTTAAAGCGGCTTAATCCGAAACAGGCACATATTATCTTACACAATAAAAGTACGTCATTACATAGATAATATATAAAAATAAATTATAAGACTGATTTAATAGTTTACTACAACAATCCTTACATGGAAAACATAGATCAAAAACCTTACTGACAAACAGAAGTTCCTGACGGGAAGTTGTGAAGTCACCTTTGAAAAAAATAAATTTATCGGTTATATCTAATTATAAAGTTAATTCAAACCCGAGTATTTTTTCCATTAGTAGAAGCCTAAGTCATATAATATATCTTTTAAAAATTAAGAAATTAATTGAATATAATCCAAAAGTAATTCTTATATTAATATGCATATTTAAAGAATAAAGGAAATTTAGATATTTTTAAAGATTTTTTAAGGAAGTTTAGTAACGAACTTCGAGGGCTAAAATATTGTCTGTGTACAGGTACATGTATAAGTACTTTCTTGTGAAAAAAATGCTCGGGTTTGTTCTTCATGAGATAAACATGTAAGCGATAAATTTAATTTTTCGAAGGTTATTTCACGTGATATCAACATAGGATTATTTTTTGTGTGACCTAACAAATTTTTTTTTTTACATTTGAATTTGATATCTTTTAAAAGAAAAAGACTTTAGGGATATAATTTGACAAAAGTTTAAAAAAAATTATGGACAATTATTTTTCAAGAAAAAAAACGAATATTGTTTTCGTGATTAGAATCGGACCTAGCGGCTTTAATAGAAAGTAAAAGCAGAAGACACATGCGTTCCTTTGAACACTCTAGTTTTTAATTCCGATAAGAAATGTTAGATTTCAGTCATGCTTGTTTGATTGATTGATTGATGTATATTGTTTAACGTCCCTCTCTTGTTTGATTGATTGATTGTATATTGTTTAACGTCCCTCTCGAAAAATTTTTCACTCATATGGACACGCCACCACTTGCCGGTGGAGAGCTACAAATTTTGTCCTATACTCGGCACTCAAGGCCATTGAGCAGGGAGGGATCTTTTTCGTACCGGCACCCACCGTGACACGGGACCTCAGTTTATACAGTCTCATCCGAAGGACCGATCTCCACGTCCCACAGTGGGATTCGAACCCGCGACGTATGGAACAACTCCTTACTTCGCAACTCTAGAGCAGTCGCTCTAACCACTTCGCCACATGGGCACAACTTGTTTGAGTAGTTATTGATGTAAATCAACAAAAATGTTGGGCTCTTTTTCCGACCTCGTCAATTAAGATTTTAAATAGACATCGATTTATTTTGATGACATTCCTACTAATTAAAATTTGATTATATACTGGAAAAAAAAAATAAATACGTAAATCTAAAAAACGATAGCATTTTTCAAAATATCACAGCACTTTTTTTATTTATCATGCAAATTACAAAAATAAAAATGTAAAAGCTAAAACTTAAACATAGGAAAAATACAAATAATCACAGTCCAGTTTCGTAACCATGGTAACCGTTGCCGTAATGTCAGGAACTTAGTCACGCTTTTTCTGATAGGTGATGTGGAAAGCGAGATGTTCCTCAATGACGCGCGGATCTACAGAGGCACTGAACACAATGCCACACGTTTCGCATTTCCTCTCTGGTCTCCGAGATTTCCATGAAGTGTTTGCAAGATTAGGCGGGGAGCGGATCAAAGAAGCCACGGCGCGGTTCTTTGGTTCCTTTACTTGAGGCGTACCTGTCTGTAATAGAGAACCCGTTTATTGTTATCAGAGGTTCTGTGAAACAATTATGAGTTCCCATTGACCAATACAAGTATACTTTATCACATGAAGTAAATTTTTATTCTAGACTATTACAAGCAATCAAGATCACTAAGATAAGAACGTAACACTACTGTATGCTTTTCTATTTCACAAGGTATTGATTGAAATAGAAAGAATTGCTTGTTTCTTTTTGGCATTACAGTTTAAGAAAGTACACCCGTCTTGTATTTTATACATTTATTCAAAGCAATGAAATAATTTTGATATCTCTCCTACCTTATAAAAACCAATAATATCATAAACAATAGATTAGATTCAATGTCACTCACTGTTAATTTGCGTGCAAATTGGCGCCATTCATTAGTAAAACATTTGGCGCGGTCCTTCAGCAATGAGCGAATTCTGTGGGTGACCTCCACTAATTTGGCGTCCGTTTCCTCTTTCATCTGGGTAACCACCTATGACGGAGGAGAGAGCTCATTACTGACCATGTCACGCAAAGTATGTATACAAAAATACATGAAGGTAATTACTCGCACACAAGAAATTCTAAATAATGTCTGATTAATAACTCTACGATGACCTTTTTCAATGTCTTCAAACGAACTTTTGTAAATTATTTTTTTTACTGAGAAAAATGCCTCCTAATGACAGTTTGGGGTGAATAAACGAGGAAACGTTCGCGAGGAATTTCACACCAATAAGGGCTAGTCTACAATTTAATTTTACACGTCAAGTAAGATTTACCAGAAAGTGAAGCTCAATTTACGCTAATTTGAAACCGGTTATTGTGACCTTCTAAACAAAAATTTTTATCTGGAGCGTGTCACACACGCTTTCATTTCACACCTGTTTTTAAAACCATCTGGAACGTGTACACATTTTGATACCAGATCAGTGCTTAGGAACTTTTGGAAACTATCATACAAAAACCTGGTATTTTTAAAACTTTTTTTTACCTTCAGATTTTTCTTGATATCGAGCATGCGCTGTGACTGGTTGTACATCCGATCCCTTTGACTTTTCACGGTGTTCGTCAGGGAGGCGATTGTGATGCTTTGCTTATTGATTGTTTTGCGCATGCGCTCTTTAAAAGAGAAATGAAATATGAAATGGAGTTAAGAGTTTCTGATAAAAGAACACAAAATTATATTACGATGGAAGTACTTTAGACATATAATTACCCATTCGCCTGGGTATGTACATCTTCCACTCCTCGTCAGAACCGACGTCCTTGGTCTCCTCGACCTTGACTGTCAATGTTCGACCTTGAAAACAAAAACAAAATGAACAATTATACATGACAAATTTTCTTTTTGTATACCAAAATTCAAGAAATAAGTAATTTTCACCAATTGCCATTGTATACGTATATGATCCGTTATGTAAATGTTAACTATTCTTGTGAAATTTTTCAGCAGCATTTCAAAAAACTTTCATAAATGTTCCTTGTTTTAGTATATCTCATTAATATCTTAAGTTTAATGAAATAAACAAATTACTGTTAAACATTCAATCAGTTTCTGATAATTTGTTTTTTTTATCCCTACTTTAGATCGAGAGACATATCAACAGAGAAATGATCTATATATGTAATATGTAAACAAACCATTTATCTCTATTACTCCCTGGAACCCCTCTTTCAGGAGCTTTAGGATTTCCTGATCCTGATCGTTCTCTTTAGCACTGCTCATCTATAAGGGATAAAATATTTTTTTAAAACATAATTAGTCGCCACATTTCCATCTAAAGTGAGGATATTATACCTATGTATCAGGCATACCGTTACTTTGCCAAATCAAAAAGATTTCCTAAGGTTAATCAGGGGGAAACCCCCCCCCCCCTCCAAAGATTTAACCCTTACTTTCTTCTTTGTATATTGAATAAAGCATGTATTTTTTTTAAAAAACCTGGAGTTTATTGCTTGTCCATTACGGGTTTCATGGATCTAAACTTGACTTGTAAAGGAAGCCAAGCTTCTGCTGAATCTGACGAATGTTGTGTTTAACTTCTTACACTGGAGATTATCTGAGATTTACAAACACAAACAGCGAACTCAATGCAATAGTTTATGAGGTTAAAAGGAGAATTTTCAGTAAAACCAAAATACCGTGTTTTTTTCTACAAAGCTGCGCTCATATTCCATTTATACGTGTTATACAAGATGATAACTTAATTCGTGTTTGTTGTTAATTTGAAACCAAATCTTAACTAAAATATTTATTACGATTAGTTTGATGGTCCTTTTCGTTGGACAAATAAGAAATCTAATCAGAAAAAAATAATTGAATTTAATGCATCACCCATGATATAGCCTGTATCAATTAGAGTTCGTTCAGGTATCAAAGATACCACATTAAGGTAATACGATACACCATTTTTTACGAACTATTAACTAAAGGCAACTCTTTTGAAATGAGGTTTCAGTATGGAAAGATCGATATCAGCTTAATATTTTATATAATTACACTGTATAATTTTTTCTTCATTTTTTTCTTTCAAAGAGAGAGAAACATTAAGAATGTTTAATTTGCAAATAAGATCTCTCAGTTAAAGTTTAGAAACTGTTGTAAACAAATGCTAAATATGAAAAATAATAATCTAGTAACAGGTATCAAGAAATGAGACAAAGATTGTTTATATCTCTTAAAACTTTGAAAAGAAGTTTCCAAAAATGTCACTTATATATAGGAAAGAAATATCAGGCAATTGTATTTCAAAAAATTGATATGAAACTCAAATTTCAAGATAAGTTTATGTGAAGATGTACAATTGTAAAGATACATGTACATCACAACAGAACAAATATTCTCTAAGATTGTTATTTTTGTGCAAAATTACATTCAAGTCTTCTTTTGGTATAATTGATACCTCTTCTTATACCTCAGTCCCCAGATAATTCTTTACAGTTATTAATTTTCTAAATTAAGTTTTGAAGCTGTCTTTATATAGATCTCATTTTACCCATGAGTAGGATTTCATCTGAGTTATCTACTTGAAATAGATTCATTACTTTAACATTTTGACCTTTACGTTTCCTTCATAAATTATTTACCTGATGACCTTTGACCTCGGCATTTTCCGCTCTCAGCCTCTCCATCTGGAACTCCATAGTTCTGAGTTTCTCCTCCAGTTCCTGGTTCTGGACAAACAGTTCCTCCAGATGGTACGTGTTCTGACGACCCGCCTCGTACTCTGCCAGGGTCCTCTGGAGCCTTACACGTAACTGGAGATCCTACAGATAGACGGGTAAAGCGAGAGGGATAAAGATATGATGTAGTTACAGCTAATTTTAAACTATGATAATGTCAATTTTATTCTTTTTATTAAATGATCTAAGTTTTAGTATGAATACTTTTACATTCATTGAACAGTTTAATTCTTCTTTTATCTTCTCTTCATGAAAAGTAGATGGGGGAACAAGACGGACAGAATGCATATAGCGTCAGGTATTAAGGAGGCTGGGGGGGGGGGGGGTCAACAAATTAATCACAAATGAACCACCAGATTTAACTTATTTTTTTAGATACGGTATCTTAAGCTGTCAACTATCATTTGGCAAAGAAAAAAATCATACATTTTAGTTTTAAAATTTGATCATTTTTGTATATCTTTATACGGATCTCTTCTTTTAAAGGAGATCGAAATAGCCTGAAAATGGCTGCCACCCCCAGCCTCTTTAAGAAATCATATTCAATATGTGAACTGAATATTTAAATTAACTTCTCATTATGGAAATTTATGAAATTATGAGAGAAAAAGAATCTCGTAGAAAATGTCTCTTTTATAAAACTATTGGATGGTATTCGTGGGATTCGAACCCTAGCAATAAAAATCCGAAGAATCATACTGCTTTGAGACTAACGCGCTAACTACTATGCTACATTGCTCATAATGATTGTGGGTATTTAAATCATGTTTGTTGATATGACCCTTGACTTCATGGACTTGAAGTATTTCTAAGAAATATGCGAATGTTTTGCCATAAAAGTGTACTTTTAAGGTATAGTGGGTCTTCGCTCCATGTTTTTGTAAACCAAAAAAATGTATATTTCATTGCAAACTTTTAGGATTATCTTTCAAAAAAATGGAGCGAAGACCCACTCATATTAAAAAATTTCATTAAAGTATGAGAAAATGATCGTTTTTGTTCTTTTTAGTGTGTGTTTGATTTTCCATAGGCATATATTTTCAGTTTTTATGGGGTTTTTGTAAATTGTAGAGATTTTACATTTAGTATATTTTAGTAATAGATGAAATATCAAATAAAATTTGGATATGATTGAGATTTAATTTTTCACTTCTCATTTGTCGATCTATAGGCACTTCTCCCGCATTATCCCCCTATCTTCTTTCTTTTTAAACTACCGATGCAGGTTACATATTTGCAATAATTGCCACAACAGTTAAATCCAACAAAAACAATAAAACACATTTTATTGTTAAAATAAAACAAACCTCTACCTCCTCTTTCAGGATTGTAATCTGCTCAGACATTTTTCTAACATTTTTTTCACATTTTGTATGATGCACTATTAAATCCTCTATGACGGATTTCCCCATGGCGCATGCGGCACACGACATAGAGTTCCGGCTTAGAACACTAAACACAGTTCGAGGACTGGGTAGAATGGCTAGTTTATGCTCATATGTTAATGGCAGATTTGGATACCAGGTGATAGAAAGTTGCTACAAAATAAATTTCATGGAATTGAAATGTAGATTCTCACACACATCCATTTTTTTTTCTCCTAAGAACATTTGCCTGGCAATATCGAATAACATGTAGATACATGTATAAGAACATTTGGGAGATGAAAGTCGTACCTCTTTGCAAACCGTTTTGCTGATATCAAGAATGGGTTCTACTACCGAGGATTGGGATACTACCAAATCACCGTTCACCTTCTTAACGACGGATTTCTCCGACACAATTCGAAAGATATCCTGCCATTGCTCATTGGAAAATGTGAGCAGCGTATCTGGGTCCGCGGTTCGAACCATGACTCGTTCCTTGGTTGGGCGCCTCTTTTGAGGAGGTGGTTCATTGTTCATCATTTCAAACGAATCCTCAAGACCTTAAAAATGTAAGAAACAAAAGTAAAGAAACATATAAGCATTAACAAATTATTATCGAACAATAAAGAAAGTAAACCTGCATGTAATGTTTTTATTTATTAGTTTTGGATTTGGTTAGTATTTTTTCCTCTGACCTCTTTTTCTAGTTGGTATAAAATAGAACTGATCATCGCAACGAGTGTCACACTCAAATCCCGGCTCCAAAGTGAGAAAGGTGAAGGACGTGTCTTCTTGTGCCCTTTTCTCAAGGCCATCAAAGTGAAGGTCATCCTCATACCCTGGCAATGATTGAAACCGGAAGTTGTTGCTTACCCCGACCACATGATTGTCCCTGGTGACGTAGAGGAAACAAAAGTCGGTTTCCTCCTCCCTAACATCCTGTAAACACGGTTTTTTTTTATCATTCCAATTTCTTTGTACTTTAAATTTTCGAAGGTTTTTGATACATTCATATGACAAGATATTATACTTTACACAGCAAAATTTTATTTTTCAATAGCAAGTTAGTGTCAGTGTTTTAGAGCAAATTTTTATGATTTTTTTTTAAAAATAATTTTAGATTTGCGTCTTCAGTGCTTTGGACATTAATTAACAGTTCTTCTGAGAAAATATTGATGCATTGGTTAATTTAAAAAAGCAGAATATGATGCACAATGATTCTCCTCACCTACCACAGATAAAGGATAGTAACACGTATTACAATGCTGCATGGTTGTCTAGTTAATCAATTGGTGGAACTCGGTCATAGCATTATAATTACTGCGAATATTTAAAGTTATAACTATATTCTTCTGTGTGAACAGTATCATACAAGGCTAATTAATAAGGATTGTGTGTTTCCTTGGTAACCATATCAACAATCGTTATGCCCGTCACTACTGACGCCGAATTAAATTATGACGATATTCGTTGTATACCTCTTCCTAATTAACTTTTTTAATGATCAGCCTTGACTTTACGACAGACTCTACACATCATATCCCTATTTCTTTCACCAGTGACAGAATATTTTCCCTTATGTTTGAATAATACGAACTGGTCTTGGAGTAATTAAGCTTACTTCAGAATTACATATGTAATTAAGTAAGAATTAAAGAATTTTTAGAGGCGGTGTCATTGTGGAATATTAAATACATGTCTGAAGTTTTGAGTAGTACAAAACTTACGGCGAAATTGGAAACCTGAAAAAGAACAGATCTACGCCTTCTGTGGACCGTGTTAAGATTGTGAGGCAACATCGGCGCCCATTGGTACTCCAAATAGTCCTTCACTGAACTCCAGCCCGAATAGAACAGGCCTACCCAGTCATTCATGTGGGGGTGAAAATCCAAACCTAGGTCATATGTGACCGGAAGAATTTCACGACCGGAAGTTATGTCCTTAATGGGGCGGAAGACAACCAGATCAAAGATAGGGTTGATGGTGTCCATTTCCTCGAAGTCGGCCATTGCTGACAGAAAAATAAAAATAAGTAATTAGCTAAAATAGTAATATACATTTTTTTTAAATTCTGATTTAAGAACATTGTTACAACATATAAGAATATTCAAGAATAAAGTGGCAAACAGAATGTTAAACGAGACTATTATCTGCCAAATAACTGTTCCCACCTTATAACCCTTCATCTAATCAAATTATTTGTTTCAAACGTGTGGGTCTTTTCACAAAAAATATATTGTGACTAAAACAAAAATTCCCATTCCTTAAGACTTTTTAAGCTATAGTAGGAGACCAAAGAAAATCTTGTATTTCCATTTCATTAGATTACATTGTAAAAAAATATATTTATGAAAAAAAAAACGGGTGTTACAGAATTACAAAGTCATCAGTTTTTCGTTTAAGTCGACAGATTATTTTTGAAAAGGACAGCTGGTTCTACTTGGGTTTTTTTGTTAGATATACGCCTTCAGAATTTATATTAATGTGTAGATTTAAAGAAGAAGTAGTTTGATTGCAAAGATAATAGAGAAAGGGCATGTAAAAATACAGTGTATACCTTTATCTGTGAATCTATGAATCTTTACTGCTACTATGGAAGGAATATCAATACCGAAAGAAAAAGACATGCATCTTTATGGTAGTGATTAAACTGACATTACTATATCTTTTTTAATCACATAATGTCTAATATATACCAGGAATTCAATAAACATGAGAAATTCTTTTGTAATTAGCAATATACGATTCATATCACAAAAACAATAAATAACACGCCAATAGATACATGTAACAGTTCCTAGAGAAAACTTCATTACGAAGGCAAATAAAATATTAGTAAATACATAAGTTAATAAAACCATGCGAAAAAAAAAACGTTTTTTAAATCCAAGGTCAGTCGATAATTTCTTCAAACATGTGTATATCTGTTTTGTATTTCATCGAGCATTTTGAAAAATCAAAAATCAAATAAACTTGTGATTTCTAAATTGGTTTTTATATAATTATTTTTTTTCAAAAACACCAAAGCGGTAATAATTTGATATCTTGTGATTTCCAAACCGATTAAATTGACATCCCTCCAAAGATGTATTGATTGATTGTATATTGTTTAACGTCTCTCTCGAGAATTTTTCACTCATATGGAGACGCCACCACCTGCCGGTGGAGGGCTACAAATTTTGTCCTATGCTCAGCAATCAGGGCCTGATGGATTTTTTTCGTGCCAGCACCTACTGCGACACGGGGCCTCGGTGTATACGGTCTCATCTGGAGGACCTGTCTCCACGTCCCACAGTGGGATTCGAAGGATTAACTCCTTACTTCGCGACTCTAGAGCACACGCTCTAACCACTGCGCCACGCGGGCGACCCTCCTTAGATGCACCTTATCTTGTTTCGAGTTAACATATTGAAATAGAAATATTTCAAAATAAAGTCTTGACAGGAAATATAGATTATTGAAAAAAGTATCGTCTGTTCTTAAATTATTCAATATAAAATGTACAAAAAAAATCAAGATTTTGAAAGGTTTGTTATGAAATTTTAACCAACTTACCCTGAATCAAATGATCTTGATTATGACGTCATAATTGGGATGCGTATGTTTATGACTGTTTGACGTTAGTTCCATTCTGACGTCATAATCAAATTGAAAGTAATTTTGGATTCATATTCTCAGCATACATTGTTAAAGGAATGAATCTTATTCTTGGCCAAATTATCAAGTATAACCTGGTTTGGGTCAGTTTACGCTTTATAATCCGGGAATCGGATTATAAATTAGCGTAAACTGACCCAAACCAGGTTATACTCGATAATTTGCCAATAATTGGAATTATTCCTTATAATATAATTCTAAAATAATTAAACGACTGTGGATGTAAAATTAATTGTGCTGCTTTTTATGAGTTCAAATTTGCCGCTCAATATTACAACCGTAGTGACGAAAGTGATGGGAAGCGAGGGGAGGTAATAACTGATACCATAAACCTAAAGCAAAATATATAATTATGCTGATACACAGTCCTTTGTTTACATGAGGTAAGATCAAGCTGCTGTTTGAAGATAAAGGTACATTTATTAAATCTGGAATTTTCCATGAATCCTGAGGATTGAGGGGATTGATGAACACAGATGATTCAGCTGTTGTCAAGGTTGTGTCCCCATACCAAACTAGATTATACAGAAAATTTGCGTTTTTTTTAATCAACCAGACAGTGAGAGGCTTGAATACAAACAAAATTAAATTATTTAAAGATATTAATTTTTTCAAATTTTATAAACCCCTAAGACCTCTTTTTTAAAGAATTCTACATCAACTATCGGTTTTGATCACATTTTTGAATTTCGCGATCATCCCAATCGCTTTGATTGCATTTACATTTTTAAACAAAAAAGTTAGAAATTGATATGTTTTGTTAAATGTGAAGACAAAGTTTTAATCAGCATACTAGCATAAATACATTGTAAAATGATTCCAAATGGACATCACGATTTGTAATTCATTTAGCGTATCGTTATTATGTTCCCCAAACGAAGTTGGGGAACATATTGTTTTTACTCTGTTTCTTATTATGTTCCCCAAACGAAGTTTGGGAACATATTGTTTTTACTTTTTCTGATTTTTTTCTTTGTTCTCCGGTACTTTTTTGTCCGCGAGTGTTCTCGTAAACTACTTATCCGATCTAGGTGAAACCTTTTTAGGGTCACTAGGTATGTTATGTAGATGTGCGGAACGAAGGTCATTTTGCGCGCACGTGCGTGCAGGTGCGCGCACGTGTAACACGTGAAATGACCAATATAATAGATTTAGCCGTAACTTTTTAAATATTGGATGAAATGCTTTGAAACTCATAATATAAGGATATAATAGTAGTATAGACATGATGACATGGTCAAAATAGCAAGATCTCACGCGCATGCAGGTGCCCTTCGCTGCGATTGGCTGAAACTTAAAGTCTAAATATCTATTTTGTTTTCTGACTAAATCCTTTGAAATTTTGAACATAGTCTTACATTATGAAGATCTACAGCATGATATATAAGAATAATCATGAACGCACGCACATGCACGTGTGCTGCAATCTGATTGGCTAAAACTTTAAATGCCTACAACTTTCTTGGTTCTCAATAATACAGGGTGAAATTTCAAATATGAATAGATATAATGATTGCTTACATTATACTACTATCAAAAGTAAATACATGGACGTGCATGCACATGCGACCGCACACAATGTATTAAAAGACAGTATACTTGAGTGTTTGATGTTCATGCAGAATCAAGAACTTCTAAATGTCAAGACATGTAACATACTGAAGCATGCAGATCTTTTTACCCTTGACCTTGAAACTTAGGTCAAGGTCACTGGTAACCTGAATAAAATGTTGATATTAGCTATTTACCAAAATCACCTTGACCTATGAACTTGAAATCGACCTTAACCTTTGTCCTTGACCCAAGGGTAAAAAGAAACATGAAGTACATGTACATGTATCTAGAAACACCTTTCAGAGTTTATTTCGGTTGACAGGTTAGAAGTTAAAGAGGTGGTGGTTTTTTATGACCTTGACCTTTCATCCAAATGTCACAATGAATCTTAAGTTCTTGGAATAAGATACAAGATTCAACTCCAACGTTAAATAGGTTAAGAATAAAAATACCCCCCCAACCCCCACCCCCCCCCCCCACACACACAAACAAATCAAATTAATGGCAACGTAGAGAATCACTGTTAAACTCAAATAACACCTCGGACCCACATAAAATTTCAGGAAAACTGCAGAAAAGAGCTCGAGGAAAGTGTATCAAAATATTTCATTTGAGTTTCCAAAGTATATAGAAATTATTAATTTATACAGAAAAAAATTACAAATCCTGTCGTGTTTAAGATTAAAGTGCAGATGACCCAAGTTGGCATATAAGCCTTTTATAGCCTATTTATTCAGATGTCGTTAATAGCATTCGATTCTACTGATTTGAAATAATATTTTAATACCAAGCATCCTTTGTTTAATTTACCTTTGAAATTTATTTGAATTTTTTTTAGAATTACGCAATCCCCAGAAATAGCGATTTTCGGTATATTAAAAATCAATATACATGTACGCTCCTTCGTAAAATAATCAGATATTTGCATTCATGAAAAAAATATTTATAAGAAGGTGTTAAACAATATAGGTCACATTAGCTGACACGAATGTCTTTTTAAACATCTCTTGTAAAACCCAGAGAGTAGCCCCCTATGCATTGGAAAAAATGAATAGTTCCGGTCAAAAAACCTTTATATATTTATTTACAAAGTATATAAAATTTACCAGGCACAGGTATCAGAGTTGTCAAAATGGCCTGAGAGGAAATATTTAAAAAAATTCTGAACAGAAAGGAAAATCCCTTTTCCATGTATGGAACTACTATTGAATATAACCAACCCCGAGCCCGATCTTAAAAACACGGTAGTAGAAAATTAGAATTTTGCTGTTTTATTAATTTTTTTGCTTTTAACTTCTTTTCTTGAAGCCAAATCATATGAAAACATTCAAGAAGGTGAAAAGACTTCATATTGTTATCTGAATTAAAATCAAAATTGTAATCTGAACAGTTAGTCTCCTTATTATGTTCCCCAAACGAAGTTTGGGAACATATTGTTTTTATTATGTTCCCCAAACGAAGTTGGGGAACATATTGTTTTTACTCTGTTTCTTATTATTATTATTATTATTATTATTATTTTTCTTCTTCCTGGGAAAATTTTGTCCACGAGTGATCTTGTAAACTACACATCTGACTTAGGTGAAACCTTTTTAGGGTCAGTAGGCATGTTATGTAGAGTTGCCAAACGAAGGTCATTTTGCGCGCACGTGCTTGCAAGAGCGCGCACGTGCAACACGTGAAATGACCAATATAATGGATATTGCCGTAACTTTTCTATTTTTTGATGAAAATTCTTAAAACTCATAATGTAAGGATATATTGGTAGAATAGACAAGATGACATGGTCAAAATAGCAAGATCTCACGCGCATGCACGTGCGCTTCGCTCTGATTGGCTGAAACTAAAGTCTCAATATCTTTCTTGTTTTAAGTCATAATCCTTTGAAATTTTGAACTATGTCATACATTATAAAGGTCTACAGCATGATATATAAGAATTATCATGAAAGCACGTACATGCACGTGTGCTGGAAAGAGCGCGCACGTGCAACACGTGAAATAACCAATATTATTGATGAAGCCGTAACATTTCTATTTCTTGATGAATTTTTTTGAAACTCATAATGTAAGGATACATTAGTAGTATAGACAAGATAGACATGTTCAAAATAGCAAGATCTCACGCGCATGCACGTGCGCTTCGCTCTGATTGGCTGAAACTAAAGTCTCAATATCTTTCTTGTTTTTTGTCATAATCCTTTGAAATATTGAACATAGTCCTACATTATGAAGATCTACAGCCTGATATATAAAAATTTTCATGAAAGCATGCGCATGCGCGCGTGCTGCAATCTGATTGGCTGAAACTTTAAATGGCTATATCTCCCTTGTTTTTTGACGAAATGCTTTGAAATTTAAAGCATATACATGCATTAGGATATCCTACAATATGATATAGAAAAAAAATCATGAAATCACGCGCATGCACGTGTGCTGCAATCTGATTGGCTGAAACTTGAAATGGCTATAACTCCCTTGTTTTTCAACCAAACAGGATGAGATTTAGAACATAGATAGATATAAGGGACTTCTACAAGAAGGTATGGTCATCATGCACGTGCACGCACGTGCATGCATTTGGAACCAGTGGATTTAAAATTACACTTGAATGAGTAATTTTTAATACTTTTGGACTGAATGCTTTAATATATAGTGTATTAAGATATATAGATAATGTAGACAAGATGATATGGTCATAACGCACATGCATTCACATGCGCACGGGTGCAATGCTACAATTTGAATATAATTTGTATCCTTCTGGGAAAACGTTGTTAAAGTAAAAAATACACAGAGTTTGTCTTATTTAATGAAACTTACAGGGAATATGGCACCAAAATGGAGTTGGAGAGCGTTTGGGGAACATCTGTAACGGTTCCCGTTACAATTAGCACTAGTTATTATTATTATTATTTTTCTTCTTCTTCTTCTTCCTGGGTACTTTTTTGTCCGGGAATGATCTCGTAAACTATACATCCGACTAAGGTGAAATGTTTTTAGGGTCAGTAGACATGTTATGTAGATTTGCGGAACGAAGGTCATTTTGCGCGCACGTGCTTGAGAGCGTGCACGTGCAACATGTGAAATGACCGATTTAATTGATATAGGCGTAACTTTTTAAATTTTTGATGAAATGTTTTGAAATTTATAATATGAGGATATATTAGAAGCATAGACAATATGACATAGTCAAAATAGCAATATCTCACGTGCATGCACGTGCGCTTTGCTCTGATTGGCTGAAACTAAAGTCTCAATATCTTTCTTATTTTTCGATGAAATCTTTTGAAATTTTGAAAATTGCCATGCATTAGGATATCCTACAACAAGATATATAGCAATTATCATGAAAACACGTGCATGCACGTGATCTGCAATCTGATTGGCTTAAACTTTAAATAGCTATAACTCCCTTGATTTTCAACCAAACAGAATGGGATTTGGAACATATATAGATATACTGGACTACTACAAGAATATATGGTCACCATGCACATGCATACACGTGCATGTACGTGCGCTGCAATCTGATTGGCTGAAACTTTAAACAGCTATAACTCCCTTGGTTTTCAACCAAACAGGGTGGGATTTAGAACATAGATAGATGTAACGGACATCTACAAGACGATATGGTCACCATGCTCATGTATGCACGTGCGTGCACGTGAAATGAGCAAAATCAAAAACACACTTGAATGAGCGTATCTTTTTAATACTTTTGGATTAAATGCTTTAATATTTAGTATATAAAAATATATAGATTGTGTAGACGAGATGATATGGTCATTATGCACATGCATTCACATGCGCACGCAAAATTTGAATGAACTTTGTACACTTCTGGGTAAACGTTATTAAAGTCTCAAATGCATCGAGTTTGTCTTATTTAATGAAGCTTACAGGGAATATGGCACCAAAAGGGAGTTGGGGAGCGTTTGGGGAACATCTGTAACGGTCCCCGTTACAATTAGCACTAGTTACATGTTATGTTAAGTTTGAATTTCATCTGCTTTTAATTTTGAATTATTAGATTCTATATTCAGTACAATGGAAACCCTCTATTTATACAGGGTGTTTCACAATATATGTCACAAATCTAAATGGACATAATCTGAATATCGAGCATGATACCAAAAATACCAAAACACCATAGGTAAGCACGTTGATCTAAAATTATGATAATGCAAGGTATTGGGAAAATTGTAATACACTATGAAGTAACTGGTGATATAATCAGTGATGGCATAATTTCAGCTGATCTCAAAATGGAGTACAACTTGCAGCAAAAATTTGTGGTAAACTTTCATTATAAGAACGATATTCTAAATGTTGTATAATGTGTGATGATTAAAGAAAAAATATATATATACTAATAAAAACTGCTGCCTATTTTTCATATATAAAGAATAATTAGAGGGTTTAAACTAGATTATAATGTAAAGATGAAAGACAGTTAAATCCCCCCCCCCCCAAATTAAGAAGAGATGAGAACAATAATGAAGTGAAATCAATCATTGGGAACCCCCCATAAAAGTTAGATCTAAGTTTAGGGATTTGAATTGTAAGAATGCCGGTAAGTGTATCAGGTTTATTTAGAAATCTTAGATTTGAGTTAAGTGTGTATTTCAAACCATTTGACGTTCAGATCCGGTTAAAGTTTGGAAGATGGATTGAAAGGTGGAGCGAAAGAAGAAGTCACCAATTAACAGATACTGGTAGTTCTAAATGACACATTTATCTCAGTGCAACTTTTAATAAAAATAGACATGCACTTTGGGGGTTCTAAAAAGCCAGATAAAAACAAGAAAAGTCTCAAGTATCCTGTGAACTTACAAAACAGTGGTCCTACAGAATTTTCTAATTATTAGTCTCTTTAGTTATTCAGGACGATGTTGGGAAAACACTTGGAGATTAACATTTTATAATTTGTTGCCAAAGTAACTGAAGTGAAGAATGTTGGATACTTTTGACTGAAAAAGTAATTTTGAATCTATGCTGATTAAAATGATATTTAAAATACATATGTAGCTTTTGTTGTATTTCATCTATATGTCTTTAGATGTGTGACATATATTGTGAAACACCCTGTAGATACAAACAAGTTTTATGCATTTGGCAATATATACAATTCATGTAGAATTTAATATCTATAGCTAGTTATTATTCAAATCAGAGCTCTGTAGAGTATATAAAATGAACGACTATTATACACTACAGACAAGAAAAATAATTGTTTACAACAATTTTAAAGACAAATTATGTATAATATGTTTGTAAGTATCACATTTTGATGAATAATTGATTTATAGTTGCCGGTAGATGGCTCCAAACTAAGACCGATACTCAACAGTCACACTAAGGTGCAGTAACACAGGACCTAGATAGGTTTATACGGTCTCATTTGAACGATTGGTCTCCGTGTTCTGGAATGGGACTGAACCTACTTCGTAAAGATTTACTCCTTACATGTATCTGCGACTTTGGATCTAGCTCTATTGCCATTGCACCATGCGGACAAACAAAGCAGGGCTTAGTTTTTCTTAATATCTATTATCAATATCTACATATTACGAGATGTATATTCTATCACATCAAAATCAATGCATAACCACACGGTTTTGTTTTATCATTACGAAATATTCGATGTGTCTGTGTATGTAATAAAAATGTAAAAAGCTTACCTTTTGTATTAGCTTTGTACGTGGCGATATTAGTAAGTTGATTATGACGTCATAGAAACAGGAGGGATAACTCTAATATTCCTAGCCAAGAACCAAAGGCAGTCCGGGTACAAGCATGAAATTGTCGTTCGGTAAAGTAAACACAAAATAAAAATTTAGATGAATTTGCGATCAAATTATTACAGTTAATATTGCTAAATGATTTTAGCTCCCGCCAAATTCCAATATTTAAAATTAAAATGTTATAGTTAAGTGAGAATAGACATTGTCTGTTTAAATTAAAAAAGAATCTATACCTGCCAGTTAATGATCTTTTGAAATAAAATTTGCGATAACTGTTCGTTACGACCCTACACATTATGATATGTATTTTTTTTTTAATTACATAAAACAACACGTTTTGTTCTTTTTAAAACCCAAATGTGACAACTTTTTATTTTTAATCTCGTCATAAAGTTTATGTTAATTTAAAACGTAAATATAATTGCTTTTTTTAATAAATTAACAAAAAAAAAGAAGAAGAAGAAGAAGAAGAAGAAGAAGAAGAAGAAGAAGAAGAAGGAAATCTATATACCTTTTTTCATACTTTATACAAAGATAAGAAGATTTTTCTGTAAACGACACCATCTAAATCAATGGAGTTTCACAGATATAAAAAGTCAAAATTAAAAATAAAAACCCACTTATAAATGGACTCCACAAGTTAAAATAACAAACAACAGTTAATTAAACCGTAGAAATGTGAGTTTATTCAGGTTCCAAATCGGTGAATGTAAATGACGTAATCATGTATATATACCGGTGTCTCATTATATCGCGGTACTTAATTCTTTTGCATAAAAAAGTATAATTTCAATTGTTTTAATTTAACTTATATTAAATGATATTTATAATTCTAACTATGGCCCAACTTCTTAGTGCAAAATTATTTTCCAATCTTGCATCGTTTAATTTGAGGTCTATTTTTAAAATAGGCAGTCTTATTCATCTTCTAAATTGGAGAGTCCCATTGTATCGCGGCATGAGTAAACGTGGAAACTTGTAGATGACATGGACCTCAGTTTTTATTTTTGAATTTAGAATGTAATTCTAAGTGAAAAAATAAACAATTGTACACACTAAAGACTTTTAAATGATGAACTTTATTATGATTTTTACTTGGTTATAAATTTAATGGTCTAAATATAATAAAAACGGGAGTGGAAATCTGTAAAATTACGTTTTATTTGAATATTTTTTTTTTCAAACAGATGCTCCATACTTCTTAATCATCAAAAAAGTAAACATTCAGACAACATACAGATTGTCCATCAACAAAAAGAATACAGGCTATGTATCCAAATTTTTGTGATATACCGCGATACAATGAAACCCGCGATATAATGAGAATCGGGAAAAAATATACTTAGTCAATCACTCAATCTCAATCTCGTGTTATCTTTAGCTCAGATTCCCAGTATATACAGCTTTTAATTCATATATACTATTTGTGCATTCATATAAAATTTTATAAAAATAACATCCATTTTGTTGTTTGGAGAGAGAGAGAGAGAGAGAGAGAGAGAGAGAGAGAGAGAGACCTTTAATTGAATTTTTCCGGGAACAAAATAAATTGCATATAATTAGAAAATAGAAAATATTTTACCTCTTCTCAATGAAAGATAAACTTCATATCACATGTTTATCTAGTAAATTTATTCAAACCTTTGTTGTTTAACAATTGAAAAAAAATATCTATATACTGGGTATGTAGAATGTTTTAAGAATTTAATGTGGTTAGTGTTTTATATCGTTCTTCTAATTAATCTCCTTGAATGGCTCTTAACAAACGAGGGAATGCAGTAAGGGAGACAACACTTCTCAAAACACTGTCAGAGAGAGAGAGGGAGAGAGAGAGGGAGAGAGAGAGAGAAAGAGAGAGAGAGAGGGATGTTCAGATTGCTGACTCTATATATATATTCTAATGGATTATCATAAAAACTATATCACTGTCTTGTAATGTTTTTGTTACTTTATATCACGCTTACCCTCAGCGACCGTGTTAATACTTGATAAAGCCACCCTAGTCAATAGATGGTGTTAAGGCAACACGTTCTTGGAAGCCGAAGTCACGCAATTCATTATAAAAACTATTTCTTATTTTTAGCGTTTGGTTAGTAAAAACCTCACAGTGTAAAGAATGTACTGAAATTGGAATTTGTGTTTTTTGTCTGTATTCAGTTTTTATTTTAAAAAAAACAAAACAAAACTCACAGAAAATCAATATTTGAACTATAATTGCAGAGTTAAATGCACTTGTAAGTTGCGATATTAAAAGGACTCTTCTTGACCAGGTTTAAGAGTTCATAAAAAAAAAAAAATCAAAGCACGACAGATGCAGACAAACATCAAATTGAAATCGGATTCGAACTTAAAATGATTCCCATCATATGGCAGATAAACAGGAAGTTGACATCGGATTTGAACGAAAAAAAATCCCACCATATGACATGTCTTCCCATATGAAAAAATACTATTAGAATTCAATCGGAGTATTCAGTTGACTACTAGTTGACGGTCAACTGACCGTCAATTGGCCATTAGTTGAATTTTTGCCATGCAAATGAGGGAGCGATCAACTCATTTGCATAGAGTGGACCACTGTTGAATGCTCCTATATATTCTTTGCAGTTGACCGCTAGTTGAATACTCCTCTATTTCCTTTACAGTTGACCGCTAGTTGAATACTCCACTATTTTCTTTGCAGTTGACCGCTAGTTGAATACTCCTCTATTTCCTTTGCAGTTGACCGCTAGTTGAATACTCCACTATTTCCTTTGCAGTTGACCGCTAGTTGAATACTCCACTATTTCCTTTGCAGTTGACCGCTAGTTGAATACTCCATTAGTCAGTGCACGTAGGTTGCTTTCATTAAATATTTGAAAAAAATGGAGGGAGATTTGAAATCTAAGACAAGCAGTGTTCTTGAAAATATGAAAAGTCAAACCAATAGAGATTCTAAATTGACATAAATGTACTTGTAAATCTAAATGCATTATTATGAATTGAGCTGGCACACTCTCATAAGTTGTTACAGTCTTTCTTCATTTTCTTGGCAGAAAAGGTTATATATAAAATTAGTCTATAGCAATTGTATATTTTTACAACACAACAAGAAACACAACAAGACACTTGATGCATAACAGGTTTTCAGAATTCTTTCAATATTTATATTCAAGTACACAAAAAGTGACCTATACTGGCTTCATTGTTTTGCATTGAATTTCCTATTATCTGTTTAAAAATAACAAGTTTAGTAAAAACAAATCTTTAAATTTTATATACTTACAATAGTACATGAGATATTTCACACGCTGAATCATCACGAAGACAATAATAATGTTTCAAATCAAAATTCCCATCTTCTACAGAAAACACACATGTACTGATTCAAATCTTGGTTGTTGTAATTATGGTATAACAAACCCGATCTATGATAATGTAATTTTGAACCCAACATAAACCCAACATAAATTTAGCGTGGGAGAAATTTTCTAACAAGTCGGAGTGTTCAACTAGTGGTCAACTCTTGTTCTGCATGAAATATCAAAGTATGAGCATTCAACTAATGGTCAACTGGCCGTTTTATGCAAATCAGTTGATCGCTTTTCAGAAAAGCATTCAACTCCGAGTGGTCAACTGTTTTCGCATTAACAGTTGACGACTAGTTGACGGTTAGTTGACGGCTAGTTGACGGTCAACTACACATTTTCGTATGGGTTAGCAGAGAATTGAATGTACTAAAATTCCAAGCATCTGCGATAAGTAGTTGCTGAAAATACTGCGACCAAAAATTTGTTTCAGATATAGCACAGGCGCTTGACGTTTTTAACCTTTCTCTTTATAAATAAGATAATCCCTATGCTATAATAATTACTTATAGTGTAGGGATTTTTTTTTTATTTATAGAGAGAAAGGTTAAAAACGTCAAGCGCCTGTGTTACAGAGGGACAAAACAGCATAACCCCCTGTCCTTCGGACCTGGCGTATAATTATTCATCGTCTATTTCATTTCTACTTTGTTGATACGGACAGAATCTCTCTTCGGTTAGAAGGGAGTAAGTAAAGGGGGGACTAGTATCGCGTTCCTCTGTTGTCGCAATCGGGAGCACAAAACGAAGGATAAACAAACTGGTATCTCGTTCACTGATCGCCGTGAATAGATGTAATACATATCTTCACCTTCACTTCATCAATCCTTCTCATAGCGAGGTTATCAGCTATCGTCTGTCCCCCCGCCATTCCCCGGGAGGCGATAAGATAAGACAGCGCGGGATACTGATGAGGAGTCGGACTTATCGAAATAATAAAGCAGGCAATCAATTCAAAAACTCATATATAGCAAGAATTTAGATTAATCAGACCAGCTTTTGTGAATTCTAAACTGCAAAGAGAACGGATTATTTTCTGTATTCCTGCTGCATGAATACGTTAAAAAAATATAGGGGGTGGGTTGTGGGTTGCTTGAGGGGGTATTGTTTAAGGGTGCTTGGTAGACATGGCCATTTTATGATTATTTAAACCACAGGAAATAAAAGAGCGCTGCGTGAAAACATAAATTATTATTGCTAGAAAAATCATTTATTTTAGGTGGATTTGTTGGGTAAATTTGACCACCCAACATCTTTAAGGAATTTAAAGAACAAAACAAAACAAACAAACGGAGGGAGCAAAATACCACATGAGGTATATAAAATAAAACTTTATTGTTGAATTTCGAACAATTACCTTCTAGAAAAAAAACTTGATTTTTTTTACTCTTCTGGTGAACAATTATATAATTAATTTCATATATAATTAATAAGGAAGTATGTTCCCTGGCCCCACTGACTTTGCTATTTATATATGTATATAGCATTTGATTGCTCCCGGGGATGATAGTGTAAATTTTGTAATTTTTTACCCCTTAATTTCATATTATAGAGTTTAATGGAGTCAAGTTAAAAGGTTTACCCTGCAGAGAGGCAGACTCAAGATGTGATTTGAAATTGCTCTAATAGCAAAAAATACGGAAACCTGCTTAGGGGTCTTTGTTTTGGCCCTAACAAAACGACGCTACTTTGAAATGTTCTGAAAACAGAGCGCTTGACAGACATTGGAATTTAAACGTAGCCTAGAAACTGTTTCATCTTATCTATACAACGTATACATACAGAATTATAATTTAACGTACGATCAAACGCATCAGAGAGGCGGAGAAACCGACATCCCCGGGGACGTTTATAGCTCCGGAGCGCGATATTTCTAAGCTTTACAAATAAAAGTCGAAGCTGATCGCCTTATCTAATTGCATGAAAATACGTACCGAAAAAAACAAACAAGCAAACAAAATCTGATGTGATCTAATTTCGCTGCAAAAGTTTAAATCTACAGTATTACAGGGACTCCATCGCCTTATGTCAATGTGAACTGAACATTTATAGGAGAGTTTGGCCTTAAATATTTCGGGGGACAGATATATATGTAGAGTATCAATGCACGTGTAGAAAATGCGTGTTTTATTTGCAGCAAGTTGCTTTGCATTTTTGCTTTGTGTAACAAATGTGATTTTGGGGGAGAATTTAATTACAGAGGAGTCCGCTGGAATAGAGTTCTTGGATTGGTACAATACAGAGCTCTCAGAAGTGGAATATAACTACTGGACAGTACAGTGGCAATATTACACAAATATCACGGATTTCAATCAAAACAAAACGGTAAGTTTATATTTAATCTCAATTCATATAAAAAAGAAATAATTATATGATTTTAACCGCCTATTACAAGCAATTTTTTTTTCATTTTTCACAAGTAAAACCTCGCGGAATGTTTATAATATGCAGGGTTTTTTTGTACTTCAAAACAGATCCAACAAACAAAGAACATATTATCTTCAGTGTAAATAATTATTCAGTAGACTGTGCAAACACCTTTAAAGAATCCGTCTCTACTTGTCAAATCTTCGCTTTTTTATTCAGAGAATCACGATTATTTGACGATAAGGAATAGGTACATTTTTGAGATACAGTGCTTTAAGTAGTTTCGGATTTTCTGCAGTTCCGGATAATTTTCGTTTAAAAATGAAAATTAAACACACAAAATGGATTTGTCTTTTGTGAATTTTTGTATAAACCATTGAATTTATTGTCTAAAATCTAGACAATAAAGCAAGATCATAAAGTCCGTCTCTCTTTCCATGTTAACAGCTTAATGTTTACTACCAGAAGCGCTTTATTTACGTTGATTAGAAAAATTACATGCTGTTTCTAAAGTTGTAGGTGTTTTTTGAAACTTTTTAAGGGTACCTTTGTAATTGGTGAAGTGTGGATAAGACACTGGTGTTTCTTCTTTCTCTAGTATTTTGGGTTTCCTGATACTACGAAGCATCTCCAAAATAATGGGCAATCTTCACAACATCTTAATTTAAGTAGTTCTGGATTTAAAACTCTAAACCATACAATATTTTTAAAAAAAAAATAAAAAGGACAAAAACATAATTTAATTTTTCATTGAAATATTTGTAAATAATTAAATTGATTTCAAAAGGGCTGAGAAAGTGTATAGAAACATAAGTTCACTTCATGTTGCGATTAATTCATGTTTTCATTTTCAATAAATTTGCTTAAACATCATGTTTTCTCTTTTATATTTTTATTGATATAATGCATATATAAATTACATGTTAAGGTCTCATTGTAGGGAATTCTCTACAAATTGATCATTTATAATGAATTTTGATACGATTTCAATTTAATAATCCCGATAAATGGCTATAACCGGAACTACTTGAAATTTTCGAAACTGCTTGAATTCCCTTATATCTAATGTACGAGAGTTTTATAATATAGTGTAACATTTTTAACAAAATGCCTTTAAATGAAGGTAGGTAAAGGACTATTTGATTCAGTTTAGAAATCAAGTTTAATACGCAAACAATGAAATGATTGATTTAAAAAAAGCAAAAAATTATTGTGTCCTAATTACGTCAACATATCTAAATTTTAAAGTTGTTTTCCCCAAAATCTTCCCATTACCCTTGATTTTCAAAAAGAGCAAGTATAATCGTAACAATAAAACAATAATTTAGACCATTAATCCCAATCAAGGGCCATAATTACAAATTCAGATGATGTAGATATTTGAAAACTCTAAATTACCAATATGCAACGTTTATACAGAAAATTCCATTTTTAAATGATAGGTATTTTGGAAAATTGCGTTCAAATTTATTAACAATTGTTAAGACCACCTAATTATAGATTTTCTAACCGATTTTCATTGTTTCGACCGCGTAATCCGTTCACCGGTAACAAATAGAAATCAAAAAGTATGTCAAAATATTATTGTTATTGTATGTAAGCAGTGCGAAATAGTGTGGAAAAAATTCATATAAATGTCTTCATTAATTTGTGCTTTCAGAATCTGTTTATTAATTATATATAATTTAATACTATTTTTTAAAATTTATTTTCTAATAATCGTAATTTTTCTTGAAGTTTTTTGGTTTCCTATATGTCTTATGCTATAACTCTTATCTCACTTTGTTTTTAAAGTTAGATAACAGTCCAAATAGACAAACATTCCGATTCGGAAAAACAAAATATTAAAATACAATCTAGCGAAAACATATTAAAATGTTAAATGTAATTCTGCATTCCAAGTATTGATAAAAATAGCAAAGTGTTACAGTGCCAAGTTTAGAAAAATAATTAACCCATTTCATCTTTAAAAAGGGTAAAACACTCATCTTATCTGTACAAGGTGTACATACAATAAATTGTTTTACAATAATACAGGTAGAAGCAGATGTCTTGAGATCAAAATTCATTCGAGAAGCAGCGAAAAATGCCTCCCACATTGACTGGAAAAAATTCCAAAACGAGACTGTCAAACGGATGTTCTGGAAGATAACTAGAAATGTAGGACCGACAGCTCTTGGCGATCCGGAAAAAATGAAACAGGTACACGAAAACACTGCTTGAGTGCTCTCTGATAAATGAACAACATAAAAATTCCAACAGTCATTACATAATGTAGTTTAGCAACTACAAATGGATTCACGCACCATATATGTATAACTACCTATTTATTTTTAAAGTTAGGTAACGTTGAAGCCGAGATGAAGAAGATTTACAGTGAAGCAGTTGTATGCAATGTCACGCGGAGCGACTGTTTAGACATGGAATTTGGTCAGTTTGAAAGACTTTTAAAATAATATAATTAGTAATTTATCTAGTATGGAAATTAATGAAAAGCGCCGAAATACATTTGTTAAAAGTGTGTAACACTGGGACAACATTTCATTTTAACTCCAATCATGGCGGACAACAGGAACTACGACACTTTACTTCGGGCCTGGAAGGGGTGGAGGGACGCCAGCGGCAAACAGATAGGGGACCTATGAATAGTCACAAAGTTTTACAAAGGACCCGGGGGTAAGAGTATACTGGTGGAATATCGCGGTACTTAATTCTTTTGCATAAAAAGTATAATTTCAGATTTTTAAATTTAACTTATATCAAACGATATCAATAATTCTGTATAGCCTAAAAGAGTCAAATTATTTTCCAACAGTGTTTAATTTATGTTATATTTTTAATACAGGAAGTCTTATTTACCTCCTAAGTTATAAAGTCTCATTTTATCGCGGTATGGGACAACATGGATGCTTTTAGCTGACATGAACATCAATTTTTATTTTTGAATTTTCTATGTAACTTTACATGAAAAAGTAAACAATTGTATCAACGTAACAGTTTTAAAAGATAAATTTTATCAAAATTTTTACGAGGTTATAAATTTAATGGTCTAAATATAATAAAACGGGACTGGAAATCTGTAAAATTACGTTTTATATGAATATTTTTTTTTCAAACGGATGCTCATAATTCTTAATCATCAAAAAAGTAAACATTCAGACAACATACAGATTTCCATCAACAAAAAAGAATATAGTTATTTCATCATAACGAATTTATAGTGTAAAGGGCGTGTAATTGTTTTAAAGGGTAATACTTTAAGATATTGAATGTATATAGTGATCACTTTTACGCTTATGAAACAATCTGAATACGGGTACTTTATCAGTTTAGCATTAAAATTGGACATATTCGTCTTCATTCTGATTAGTTACATTACTTTTCACCATCTTTAAAATCTGACCACAATATTCAGAGTTGCTCTTCAGACAGACACCCTTTTTCCAGCTCTGTGAACATGGAGTGTCACTTTTTTTTTCTGAGTTATAGATTACGCAGACATGGGGGAGTATTTGCAGGACTGGTACGAATCGTCCACGTTCCAGAGAGATCTAAAGGACCTTCTGAGACAGCTACAGCCCCTGTACTCCCAGCTCCACGCCTACGTGAGGGCCCGCCTACAGGAACAATATCCCCAGCAGCGCTTCCCCAAGTCCGGCCATATTCCAGCACATATCCTCGGTAAGGTTGTTTTACTTATCAAGAAGATGCATGAATTAATATATGCTGGATAAAGCTGGCTGACATATTGAAGCGTAGTGTAAATATATCCTGGATAAAGGTGACTGACACATTGAATCTAGTGTAAACATATCCTGGATAATGCTGATTGACACATTGAAGCCTAGTATAAATATATCCTGGATAAACCTTACTGACATATTGTAGCCTAGTGTGAATATACCCTAGATAAAGCTGACTGACATATTGAATCTAATGTAAACATACCCTGGATAATGCTGACTGACATATTGAATCTAATGTTAACAACATACCCTGGTAAACATATGGATAAAGCTGACTGACATTGACTCTTGTAAACATATCCTGGATCTAATGTAAACATACCCTGGATAAAGCTGACTGACATATTGAATCTAATGTAAACATACCCTGGATAAAGCTGACTGACATATTGAATACTAATGTAAACATACCCTGGATAAAGCTGACTGACATATTGAATCTAATGTAAACATACCCTGGATAATGCTGACTGACATATTGAATCTAATGTAAACATACCCTGGATAAAGCTGACTGACATATTGAATCTAATGTAAACATACCCTGGATAAAGCTGACTGACATATTGAATACTAATGTAAACATACCCTGGATAAAGCTGACTGACATATTGAATCTAATGTAAACATATCCCTGACATATTGAATCTAATGTTAACATACCCTGGATAAAGCTGACTGACATATTGAATCTAATGTAAACATATCCTGGATAATGCTGACTGACATATTGAATCTAATGTTAACATACCCTGGATAAAGCTGACTGACATATTGAATCTAATGTAAACATACCCTGGATAAAGCTGACTGACATATTGAATCTAATGTAAACATACCCTGGATAATGCTGACTGACATATTGAATCTAATGTAAACATACCCTGGATAAAGCTGACTGACATATTGAATCTATTGTAAACATACCCTGGATAAAGCTGACTGACACATTGAATCTAATGTAAACATACCCTGGATAATGCTGACTGACATATTGAATCTAATGTAAACATACCCTGGATAAAGCTGACTGAAATATTGAATACTAATGTAAACATACCCTGGATAAAACTGACTGACATATTGAATCTAATGTAAACATATCCTGGATAATGCTGACTGACATATTGAATCTAATGTAAACATACCCTGGATAAAGCTGACTGACATATTGAATACTAATGTAAACATACCCTGGATAAAGCTGACTGACATATTGAATACTAATGTAAACATATGGATAAAGCTAACTGACATATTGAAGTATGTAATTTATATATCTTAGGATTGTAGCCTTGTGTAAATATATTCTGGATAAAGTTGACTGACATATTAAAGCATAGCAGTGTTGTGTAAACAAACACATTGAAGTGATTAAAGGTAGATCTTTGGAATGCGGAAGGACATATTAAAGCAAGCATAAACACATTTGGGGAAATCTGACTGATTTATGTAAGTGTAATGTAAACATATCTTAGAAATGCTGATCCTAGGAATGCTAAAAAAAACAAATAAGAGTGAGGTGTAAAAATATCCAGGGAATACTTACTGACATATTGAAACCTTGTATAAAGATATCCTGGGAAAACTTTTTGACTTAATGAAGAGTAGTATAACATATCCTGAGAAAATTGAATGACATATTGGAATGTGGTGTTAACATATCCAGGGAAATCTGACTGACATATAAATAATTAATTATAAGGTCTTCAGACATTTTGAAAATGGCATAAACATATTAGTAAAGGCGTCTAAAAACAAATCCCGGTGAAGCTCACAAAGCTCTATGTCCTATTGAAGCGTAGCATTAACATGTACTAGGAAAAATCAGAGGAAATACTGAATCATATAGTAAACATATGCTTTGTTAAGATAATTTGACGTATTGAATGATATATGGAGATAACGAACAGTATTCAAGCTCAAAAGTCCATATAACAATACAAAATAGGAGCAGAGCAAACACTGGCCTCCAAAACAAAAGAAGTGGGGTTAGGTGCCATAGAGAAGTAGGTATCCCCTGCCGACCGGTCACATTCGCCGTTTGCTCCTTGTCATGATTGGGAAATAACGGAAAAATCCGTCGGCAATTCAGTTGGCCTAACAATAAGTATGAAGTGAAGTGTAAACAGTGAGGCTTACTTAAGCACCATTACTTTTTTGGTGCTTTATGTTGTTACTCAGTAAATGAAGAAGTTTTTTTTTTTGCAGAAACCTTTAACACTTGATATTGTGTTTTCAGGAAATATGTGGGCTCAAAACTGGGAAAACGTGTACCACATAGTTCAGCCTTATAAAGATAGACCGGAAATCGAGGTTACATCTTCACTCAAAAATCAGGTATACACGTAGAACTGACAGGGGAAATAGATAATATTTTGCAATGTAATCGAAGGTTTAATTGACTCATTATTGATAGACATATCGCTTATGTATAACCAAATATTGTATTATTACTTAGAAGCTTCAGCAAGTCAAAGTCGGGATTTCTGTAATACATGCTCAAACTGTAATATTCAACTTTGGAAAAAAATGATTTAAGAGAAACTTCAATTTATGATTGTTTCAAATATTCAAGGTTCAGGAAATTCTTAGGATAGGCCTCTTGTAGAAATCTCCTACATAGCTTTGATTTATTAAGGACAACTAGAACTGAAGATTAGTACATCTTTTTGTACAGAACTACAACGCGACAGAAATATTCAGGACAGCAGAACAGTTTTTCACCAGTCTGGGATGGCCCTCTCTGCCACACAGCTTCTGGGAAAAGTCAATGTTGACAAAACCAACAGACGGCCGAAAAGTCGTGTGTCATCCGTCGGCATGGGATTTTGGCAACAGCAAAGACTTTAGGTATCAATCATTAAAAAAAAGTTGTACTGCAACTCAATGAATTTTTAACGAGTTTGAACCGAGAAATAGGTCTGCTCCATAGACGTGTAAAAAGGCTAGAACTTGGATCCTGAGAATTCTAACACTAGTTCCTAAGGTGTGAGTCAATCCATATAATGTTACAATGTATTTGACATGCTATTTATCATTAGTTTTAGTTGCTGTGTAAGATAATTACAATATAAAATGCACATAGCATTAACGTTTTATAAAAAAAAAGTGTCTGTGGTATAAAGAATTTAAACTTTATATTGGCCTTAGGAGTAAGTTCGTTTGTTAAACGAGCGCCATATTTGTTGCAAATAGTTTCCAAAAGCTTTATCAGGTCTAAATTTCTATAAATAGTCCCTTGTAAAATGCAAAAATACTAGTAATTTATTCATCTATCTTATATATGTTTCTAGGATAAAGATGTGTACCGCCATCACGATGCCTGAGCTGATTGTTGTCCACCATGAGATGGGACACATTATGTATGACATGTTATATAAAGACCAGCACATCACGTTCAGGGAAGGGGCAAACCCGGGTAAACAGAAATATAAAGTTTTATAGCATTTACTCATAACGCCAATTCCTACGATTTAATCAATTTAAGAATTAATTAATTTAAATTTCTATTTATATTGTTCTTAAATGATCTAAGATTTAGCATGTTCTTTTGTAAATATTTTTTGTTTATCTGCTTATTTCTATATAAAATACATATCAATATGAATTCAAGCTAGTCCTTCTTCAATCCAAAATTAAAAATAATAAATAAGTCATAAAAAAATTATTATAAAATAAGATTTAACTTTGTAATTCTCCCAGCGTTGAAAAATACATAGGCAGCTGTAAAAAAGAAATAGTGCAGCCAAAGTATATGTATGTCACTTGAAATTCATTAATGACGGTGATAGATAACTTGTAACGAGGAAACGCAAAAATTCTGCAGATGTTACATCTCAGATAAGGACACCTATGTATACTTCATTTAAGAACATGTGAACTTTAAAGTAAATATTGCCGTTCTAAATTCAACATAATCACACATACGTACTTCTAGATGTAAATCAGTTATATTATCAATATACATGAAGAGTAACTGCGTTTTCTTATAAAGTGAAAGGAAACAAGCATGATAAAGCAATAATACGACAGGTTTTACCATAAACAAACCCAGCAGCATTTCATTCAGTTAAAAATTCAATTTGTCCCCGTCTATTTACAATATACTACCAAAGGGGAGTTGTCAAATGTGAATCGTATTAGATTTGATATCGAAAAAAGTTGCATAAATAAAATTATTTTTGAAAGCTTGAGATACAATTTTCTTTGCGAAATATTGTGAATGCCTTATTTCTGTACAATGGAAATCAATCTGGACACAATGATAAATATACAATGTACACAATAATTTATAATTCCTTTTAACTTAATAATATAATATAGACAATTTGTTTTGAATTGTAAAGTATTTTACAGGTAGCAGAGGTTGTTGAGTTCATTTCAGATGCAGTGCTCACCAAAATATTTCTCTTATAGTATTTTAGAGAAAAATAAATTAAAGTTTTGTTGATATCTTACAGGTTTTCATGAAGCCATTGGAGATTTGATAGCTCTGTCGGTGTCAACGCCTTCTCATCTGAAGAAGATTGGCCTGCTGGACCGTGTACAGAACGACACAGGTGACAAAGAATAACCAGACAAACCAATAAAATATCTCCAAAATAAATAAAATATAAAACAGAAGAACCTTGTAGATAGGAGGAGAATAATAATTTTAGTTTGAATGAAGCATCAGTGCAATAAGCTGAAATTGGAAATGGTTAACATTAGAAGTATTTTGTATCAATCAATTATACATATTTCCTAATTCCATCTCTGGAAAGAATATTTATAAAAATGATATCAAACGTTAAATTTAACTATAAAGGAAATATTCTTTTAAAATAACTTAATGAAGGTAAATGTTTAATAGAGAGCGATCTGAACTTTCTGATGGCACAAGCTCTCCGGAAGATAGCCTTCATTCCCTTTGGTTACCTGATTGACCAATGGCGATGGAGCGTGTTTAGCGGGAACACTACGGACTCTAACTACAACAAACACTGGTGGGACCTCAGGTCTGTATAGGAAACTCCATACAGTAAGGAAGCGTAGCCTCCGTCTATGAACAAAAAATTCTAACCCCGCTTCTGATAATTGTTTGTGCAAGAAGCATATAGTTATGGTCAGAGTTGCATAGGAAACTCCATGCGGTAGGGAAGAGTAGCCCCTATCTATGAGAATGAATAAATGTTTGAACAAGAAACACAGAAAATTATTGTTTTACAGAAAACCCAAAGTTTCCACTAGTTCCTTTTTAAAGCTGTGCGTTCAAATTCTTTTTATATCAGGGGTATTATCATATCGGTATACCCCGTATATCAGGTAATAGATCACAGTTGATAAAAGAATTTTTAAAAAACTAAATTAAAAATATGTCTTGGTACCAAGTAACAATGCTTGTAACAATATACGAGGGCTGGAATTTGACGCTTTTCGCGCAATGATTTAATCTTCATTATCAATCTCTCTTGATTAAAACACATGTCCGTAACATTTTGTATCCAATTTCCCATTTTTTTCTTAGTATACTGGAAAATGGCCGATCCAATGATTTCCTGGACTTGTTTCTTCCTTATTAAAGGTGTTTTTTTTCAAATTTGGAAATAGAAACAAGTCAAAAGGTCTAAGATCTGGCGAATATTGTTAATTTGAAAAATATTTACAGAAAGTTTTAATTTGAATTAAATATTTTTTTTTGCAAACATACTCTAGAAATTAAATACAGATTTTACCACTAATATTTAAGAAATTTGCATATAAAAAGTTTCCACTGTTTTGTAGTTCCGTAAATTTTGTTTTAAAGCTATCAAGCGTTTGAATATCAAAACAACATGGATAACTCCAATTATTGATATATTTTTTGAAATGGTAAGACATTTGTCGCTAACGTTTTAACTCATTTTTCAAAATATAGGGTGACCTTTGAGTACTAAGCTTTTTTACCGTCAAACGTTTCTTCACAAAAGTTTAAACTAACCCCGATGTGATGTCTATCAAATTTGCTATGTGTTTTAAAGTCAATCCTACATCATCAAGTATTATTTGGTGAAATTTGGCAAACAGTACATAAGTTGTTATAATTTTTGTTACCATTTTTGATGCCCATTATATAATTTTTTATCTGAAATTGCTTATTTGTCTATAAAACAGGCATTAGTTGCTGTAAATGTCACATATTTCAGTGAATATTTCTTTTGGATTTTTAACAAGTTTTACAGCAGATTTGATCCTTTGGTGCATTCATTTATAAAGTGTACCATATCCCATGAAACTATGTGATGAAAAGTGGTCACATAAACTGTTATAAATTCATTAAAGATTCAACTATTAGAAAAGGTAAAGTTTAATGTTATATGATATCTGTATTGTATGTCATACAGTTCAGGACATTATTTATTGAACAGCCCTCGTAGACTTTGTCTGTAAGGGACATCGATCATAAAATATCATTAGTCATCTAGAAAATTACATTGTTACATATTCTCAGACTGATAGAATATGAAATATGGAGGAAATGAACTGTGTTTGATCTCAAAGTCCATATAAACATTACAAATCAGGAGCAGAGCAAACATGGACCACCAAAAACAACAGAAGTGGTATATCTCGCCGTGTGCTCTTTGTAATCGGGAAATCATATCAGTTCGTAAATAATGGGTACCCCGTTGATGAACTGAAAAAATTGTATTTGTCGACAAGGTCATTGTATCCCATACGAAATGGTGTACGGAAGATCTTGTTTCATCATCTTTTTTGTTTTAGCTTGCGTCGTTTTAGAAAATTGTTCATATGTGGAGCATGCTCTTGCGTATCAAATGAACTGAAAAACTGAAATCCCATATGTAGAAGATAAGGGTTTATTACTGCATAAGTAAGGGACGTTGAAGACTGAAATGATGAATTCTCGCGTTTATCATAAATCATTGTTGTTCCTATTACCATTAACATTTTTTTCGTGTAAAGTATCCAAGATTGAAACGAATGCGTCCGACTATTTCACTTATTTGAAGTAAATCAAATATATACAGATAACGAACAATATTCGAGCTCAAAAGTCTATTAAACATTACAAAATAAGAGAGGAGCAAACACGGACCTCCAAAACATAAGAGGTGGAACCAGGTGCCATGGAGGAGTGAGCATCCCGTAATGACCGGTCACAACCTCCGTGTGCTCCTTGTCGCGATCAGGAAACAACGCAAAATATCCTTGGACAACTCATGATCAGTGTGTAACCAATGGCCTAACAAGCAGTTTGAAGACAGTCCGTCAGCATTTGACTTAATGATAACTACTGAGTATTGTATTTGGTAATACGTCGTCGATATATCGGAATGTCCAGTTGAAGGACACAAACCCAAATAAACTGCTGAAATATCTTAATGTTTAAAGGATTTCGTCGGCATCAAGTCCTCCTATACCAGTGAGATTGTTATATTGGCCTTCGTTTGTAAATGACTACAGAAGTCTTATTTTACCTTAATCAGAACATGACTCACGGCGGGTATACATGGATTGCTTTCCCCTTCCTGGCACCTGAACATAATAGATTTTGAAAATAAATTGACTACTGAAGTCGTTAATCATCTTCACCCTTTACTTTATTTTAGTTTGGACCATTTGTACTATAAGTTTCAGATAAAAGTAATAATAATTTGCCACGAAACCTTATTTTCGGAATGTGTGGAGATAATTAATGTTTTCATTATATGAAGATAATTATATTATGTGATGTTTTGGAGGTCCATGTTTGCTCTGCTCCTATCTTGTTTTGTAATGGACTTTTGAGCTTGAATACTGTTCGTAATCTCCATATTTGAACAAACTTTTACTATATTTTAGTTTCCACATTTGTATCTTTCCTGGCCCAGTGGTTCAGATAAAAGATTTTTAAAATAATTTCCTATGTAAAACTTATTTTGGCCCCACCCTAATGTGTGGTCATGATTTAACAAATTTGAATCTACACTATATAAAGATTCCACATTATATTTTCCTGATGTTTTGGAGAAGTTTTTTAAAAATGCCATTAATTTTTCTCTAATTCATAATTTTGTTGAAAATGGCCCTTTTGAACAAACTTGAATCCCCTTTACCCAAGGATGCTGGCATATATGGTCATTACTTGAGAAGAACGAAAATAACATTTTAAAAAAATATATAAATCAAATCATCGACTTATCCTTTGGTCGAATTTACATTGACGTGTTATTTGGTCGAATGTTTACTGACATCATCATAAAAAACTATTCAGCTATTCATTACGCACTAAATTATCTAACCATTTTATTCCATTTACCTAATTGTGATAAGGAGCAAGTGTGACCAATTAACATTGAATGTTTTCTCCTCTAATGCTCCTGGTTGTTTAAGAATTCGATGTGGCATTTTTCATTATGTCATATATTTTATAATTATAATGGATAGTACACGACACGGTACGCAAAAAACGTATTAAAATATATAAAAGAAGATCCTAATTTTATTTTAATTACTTAAAGGTACTTCGTCAGCTATATTCTTCAGTTCCAGTTCCATAAGGCTCTGTGTGAGGAGATGAATCACACGGGTCCACTGCACACGTGTGATATTTACAACTCTAAAGCCGCAGGAAACAAACTCAAGTAAGAAACCTTATCAGGACAATGAAATTCGTTCAAGTGATTTGGTCCTTCACTTTGCATTCGTTAAAGTGATTTTGTCCTTAATTATGCATTTGTTAAAGTGATGGGACGTTTGGTGTTGCATTTTTGAAAGAGATGTGGTCTTTGATTTGCATTTATTAAATGATAGTTTCCTTGAGATTGCGATTATAAGGATGAAAAGGTCATTCTTTTAGCGGTCGTTAAAGTGATTGATTCTCTTTCACAGTATTGAAGACTGCATAAACCAATGCAAAATGAAACAAAAAATATTAACCGTACAATAATACAGAAAATGATTTTAAAATGTTCCCAAATAATTTTGTTTGAAATCTTAAAAAGTCTTAATTTGTAGTTTGTTTAGAAAAACTTTATTGTAAAAACTCGCGAAATTAAATCTGTATTTATTCAGGTTACAAATATACAATGTAGTTTTTTTAACGTTTGAATTTTAAAACGGGTCTTTTGTTTCTATTAAAAGATTTATGAAAAAAAATCATAAAATAAATGATAGGATACGATGAAAACCTATAATTTTCTATACATTAAAATAATCAAATTGACTAATATGTACCGAGAATGATATGACCTTATTATTGCATTTTTTTTACAATGGGTAGCTTTGGATGGCTGATTGATTTAGAGTTTTAAAATTTTCTTATCAGATAAAATAAAAATTAACAATGTACTGATTACCTTAAATTGCCATAGCTTAATAAAATTATTTTAGATCCGCCCTAAAGCTTGGCTCATCTAGACCATGGCCAGAAGTTCTCAAGGTCTTAACTGGGACATCTAAAATGGATGCAGGGCCTTTGATGGAATACTTTGCCCCTCTTATTGAATGGTTAAAGAACAAAAACGAACAAGATGGAAATACCCCCGGCTGGGCCCCATACGGATGCCCGTCTCTAAGGTAAGGAGACTAAACTGTCATGATAACATGCAAACAAGACTTGTCTTCAAAAGAGAATGGTCAGTAAACTTAATGTACTAGGCATCCCTTGCTTATGAGTTTCATTTAAATACGTATACAGTGATCAATCTGTACTACAGCATAATAATTGTTTATGAGTTTCATGTTAGAACAGTTATCAATCAGATATTTTTTTATGGTTAGGACAGGGCGGGTTGGGGATGAAGAAGCAGCCCGAAGGTTCGCCAGAGACTTTAATGACTTGGCAGAGACTCAATACAGCAAGGACGCGGAGGTCAACTGGCAATATAACACAAATATTACAGAGTACAACCAACAACAAGTAGTAAGTGTAACAAATGTTGGAAATATATTACAACATTAGTACAATCAGAAACAAATTTCAAGTCTCAAAAAAGTCAGGAATTTAATGCAAATATCACAGAACACAACGAGAACCAAATGTAACATGTTATGAAAGTCGCTAATATCATTGAAATACTTCGGTGTAGCAACCTCTAATGATACAACGCCCCTTAATGATGAAAATATCATTAAGCGTTGCAATGCAACGCTTATTGTCAAAAATTACCGCCTTAATGGTTGACATTCTCAACCGCTAATGCTTAATCGCCGCTTAATAATAAAAAAGAATTATATCATTAAGCGATTGAAAAAGTCAACTATTAATGCAATAATTTATGACATTAAGCGTTGAATTGCAATGCTTAATGATACTTCTGTCATTAAACGGCGCTGTATCATTAGAGGTTGCTAAAACCTCATCTCACCTATCCACTTCGTGCCCACTGGCCCATAAATCCTCAATACACGGCCTCCACCTGTCTTTCTTTGAATGCTGCTCTCGCTGACGCCTACATTGTTTTTTGGCAGATGTTCCTCTTTTCTTCTTGATGCCATGTCCTTGCGGTGGTACAAATTCTGTTGATCTCTATCCTCAGCACATGACCAATTCAATTCCACTTCCTTAGAGTTAATCATGTTAATATCTCACTTGCTGTAGTTGTTTTTGTGACTAGTATACTATGATGAATTTCATCATTTCACATTTTATCAGCCTAGCATACTCACAGATTTTTCTATGGAATCTATTCTGGAATGTGTAAATTTCTGTTTGTTTTGGTCCGGCGTTTTCCATGTCTTACCTCGATAAATAAGAACCGACAGGACCAAGTAATTTATTGAATAACTTTACTTCTATTTGGATGGAAATTTTTGATTCCTCTGAGCCTTCCAAACTGAGATTTAGACTTTCCTAGACTGTTGTTACTGTTCTCCTTAGATCCTCCCTTTGTTGTTCTCACACCTCCAATTGTTTCTACATTCTCCAGGTCTTGTCCATCTTGACTGCCTCTATTTTGTCAGAGTCCATCCTCATCTCTTTGGATTCTCTATGTTTATTCTGAGCAGCAAATTCATTTAGTCTTTTTGTCTTTTTTTGGATGTCCCAAATTGTTTTAGAAAGGTAGAGCAAGTTCATCTTTGAAGTATAGATCTTCAAGTTTTGTTAATTTCTGTTCTTGTAGTTCTTCTTATTATAAAATCGATAACTAACAAAAATAGGAATCCAGACATTGTCAAAGTTGCTTACAAACAATACTGAGTACCATACGCTTTTACTGAGTGTTTTGCTCCACACGCAGCTGCTTTTCCACTCCATCATGGAACCTTTGCATCGATGTTCTGAAGAATACTTTGCTTCACACAGACTGTAGTGTTATACCTCTATCACTTTTCTTTGGGATCTTTACTATCATTCCTTTACTCCAAACCGATCGTATGGTGCCTTGTTTCCAAATTTTTGTAAAAAGTTTTCTACACTATACCTTGCTGTTGTCTCTGTATCTTCTTTTAACATCTCAGCTATTATCCCATCTACTCCTTCTGTTTGTCCATTCTTTTGTTTCTTTATAGCTTATGATTTCCTCTTTCCGTACGGGTCCTGTATCCATCTCTTTTCTTACTTGTCCTTCGCTTCCAACTTCTAATATGTGTTAAGGTTGTCGACGGCTTAATGTTTCTTTCTTTCGTATTTGCTGCTCAGGATGTTTCCCTTTTTGTCCTTTATTGCTGTTGCCCTTCCTTTCCTCTCATTACTTTGTGCTTTAAGTTCAATAAAAAGAAATTGATGGCAAATTAAAAACTAGATGTTAACTTTTTCTTCGTAATACGAGTATTCTTATTTCAATTGATTTGGTTTCATACCACGAAATATAGAAAAAATCTATTTCACAAATATGGTTCTGATCGACCTTGCTCACGTATATTTTCATGACACCCTTTTTTAAAAACCATGACTACATTTTATAAATAATTGATTAATTATATATAGCTTAACCAGTTAAGCCTGAGACGGCAATTTTTAAATCAAATTTCGGCTTACATTTTTCAACCAAATGTCCGAAACATTTTTGAAACAAAAATATTTAGGTTAAATCTAGTGTGGAGATGGCCGAATTCAAGAAAGAAATGGCAGACCTAGTTACTCTTTATGACTGGCAACAGTTTGAAGACGAAGATTTAAAAAGATTGTTCAGTAAAATCACCGACATAGGGACTTCAGTCCAGGAAGATACAGATAAACTAGCTCAGGTAAACTAGCTCAGGTCAAATTAGCTCAGGTAAACTAGTTCAGGTACTGCTTACTTGATGTCTGAATGTAATGGGTAAAGGTTTTAAATTTATTTTAATGTAATTTGAATATATTATATTCCTGTTTATTAGAAAATGAGCAAACAGATAAGACAAAGTATCGCATTTAGTAAGAATATGCTAAAAAGATTTAGCTATGCATTGATTTAAAGTATAAATTACAAATAGAAAATTTGATTTTCTGTGTTTCAATCAATAATTTAACAGATGAACCAGGCAGGGTCAGAGATGGAATCTATCTACAGCACAGCTAACGTTTGTCTGAGTGATGGATCGTGTCATCAAATAGAACCTGGTGAGAGAGAGAGAGAGAGAGAGAGAGAGAGAAATGCCATTTGATAGAACCGGTTGACATTTTTAATAATTTATCAGAGAAAGAAAGACAGGGGCCGGACACACAAAGAAATTATGTCAAAATAGAAACTATTTATAAGATTTCTAAGCAGAGAGAAAAAATTGAGAAAGAGAAGAGTTGTATTAGTTGTGAGAGGGTAAAACATCCATGTTATTTGTATTAAAGGTCTAACTGAGATCCTGGCAACGTCTACGAACTACAGTCTCTTGACGGAAGCGTGGAAACTCTGGCGAGATGCGACTGGAAAGAAAATGAAACCCAAGTACAAAACACTTGTGGGTTTAAGTAATGAAGCCATCAGACTAGCAAGTATGTTGAAGTCATCTTTTAAAAAAATAATAATGTTAACAAGTCAAATTTTTCTGAAAAAGTAAATAATACACGAATGACAAACGTTATGTATTCATGATTAAATTGAAATGAATTTCAGATGTACGATAGAATTTTTGTTGTATAAGATCTTACTTACTGGTTGTCTTTCTTTTGGAGAATATACGCAGATGTTTATGTCTTCTGACAAATTGATACAATTTTCTAAATCATTTGTTTTTAGATTTTTCTGACATTGGCGCTTATTGGCGATCATGGTACGAGACACCAACGTTTCAGAAAGATTTAGAAAAATTACTGGACGAGCTCAAACCCCTGTATGAAAATTTACATGCATATGTCAGAAGGAAGCTAAAAATGATTTACAAAAATGATGAGGATAAGTTTCCGAAATCTGGTCACATCCCAGCCCATCTACTAGGTAAATAAAATATTATTCATAAACTAACGAATGCGATGGCTAGAATGTTCTAAGTTTCAAATTAATCTGTCTTTTTTCCACTCTGGGTAATATTTTTAAAGTTTTCAATAACATAGTATTAAAGAAAATGGTTTTCATCCTGTGTTTTTAGGTAACATGTGGGCCCAACAATGGAATAACGTGGGTAAATTTGTCATGCCATATCCTGACAAACAAAGTATTGACGTCACACCAAAACTGAAGGAAAAGGTAATTATTTGATATGAAAACTCTGTTAAAGAGATCAAGAATGAAAAAAAATCAAAAATGCTGAGTACTAATCAATTGTAATTTAGGGATACAATGCCAAGAAACTGTTTGAAATCTCGGAGGAGTTTTTTGCGTCTTTGGGATTAATTAAGATGCCGGACAGTTTCTGGGCAGACAGCATGATAACTAAACCCGCTGACAGAGAAGTGGTGTGTCACGCCTCGGCTTGGGACTTCTACAACAGAAAGGATTTTAGGTAAAAAAGAGAGAGAGCAAGAAAGAGAGAGAAAAAAACCATGTGCTGGTTACCTCAGGAAAACTATTAGCTGTCAATTTAATGAGATGTTAAAGCAAAATAAATCTGTGTAAAATATTTTGTTGCGCTCAGCACAGCATATCACAGAATAATACACCGTTTGTCTTCAGCATGTATATGTAAGTCAAAAACATTACAAAAACATTTTAATGGTAAGACAAAACATACACGGGACATTTATACTTTTTGAGATTTTAAAGAAAAAAACAATTGAACAAGACGACGAATCTTTATCTTGGATTTTGAGAAGAGAAGAGATTTAGAAGTGATATCTTAAAACAATGGATCTTAATTTTGAAAGTCATACATGTTATTAATGTTTTTTCTAAGAACTTATATTAGAGTATTTTATTTTATGTGCAAAATACACATACGGTTTGTGTTACAGAATAAAAATGTGCACTAATATAAATATGGAGGACCTAATTACAATTCACCATGAAATGGGACACATTGAATACTTCCTACAATACAAAGACCAGCCTCTATCCTACAGGGACGGCGCTAATCCAGGTAAACACATATACCTTCAAATACATAAAATAGAGATAACCTGACTTGGTTAGGTATAGGTAACCTGACTTGGTTAGGTATAGGTAAGCCTTATATACCTATAAAAAATAGACTAACCTGACTTAGATATCGGTAAGCCTTATATACCTACAAAAATAGAGTTAACCTTAAGTGGTTAAATATAGGTAGACCTTATATCCCTACAAAAAGAGAGTTAACATTACTTGGTTAGATATAGGTAAGCCTTATATCCCTACAAAATAGAGTTAAGCTGATTTACTTAGATATAGGTGAGCCTTATATTCCTACAAAACAGAGTTAAGCTGACTTGGTTAGATATAGTTAAGCCTTATATCCCTACAAGATAGAGTTAAGCTGACTTACTTAGATATAGGTGAGCCTTATATTCCTACAAAACAGAGTTAAGCTGACTTACTTGGATATAGGTGAGCCTTATATCCCTACAAATTAGAATTAAGCTGACTTACTTAGATATAGGAAAGCCTCATATCCCTACAAAATAGAGTTAACCTGACTTGGTTAGATATAGGTAAGCCTTTTCATACTGAAAGCTTGTGTACACAGGTTAGATATAAAGTAGCTTTATTCTTATGAAAAGTTAGTTATATGTATGTTATATATTTCTGTTTTGAACATATTTTATTGATAACATGTCAAAGGGATTGGACACAATTTCCAAAAACTTAGATACCGTAAATCTGGAAATTTTTACGTCGATTTATTTTTGCAAATTTGGGTCAAAGAGCTGTTGATTAATCTTTACGCTTCAAAATTTTGCGAATTGTCACTGGCGCTAAAAATAAAAATCACTTAATTATTAAAATGTACGTTCATATCAGTTTATGTTTTAAATTAGTATAGTTAGAATAACACCAATATACTTGGCAAGAAATTGCAGAATCGCTCCGAAACTAAAAATACAAAAGGATTTTACTGAAATGACTTCTAAATTAATAATAACAAACCGTTTAGAGGTTGTGTATGCCTTTTAACCTAAAAATAATCCAAATAAAGCTTATTTTCTCAACGTTTGTTTTTTTTTTCTCTCCTAAAATTTACACGCCGTGTTTACATTTGGAACTCTCTAGTAAATGCACTGAGTTCGAGTTATCGCCCTTGTTGATACATGGTTATATAAAATAACTGGTCTCTCTAGCTATCTTTCTTGGCAAAATAATTAAAAGGGACATAACATCACACAATAATGCATATAATGAGGGCAATTTACACACGCGGATAATTAGCTTGTAGTTACAGTAGTATAAACACTCAGGTTTCTTTTTAAAAATGACCAGTGCTTACCGATGCCTATTCACTGAGTTAAAAATAGACACCAGCTTTCAGAAAAAAATTCTTTACATGTTGATTTATTTTTAAGAAAAATATTTTTGCGAATGCGGTGCACGCGCAAATTTGCTAAAAATTTATCTACAGTAAAAAATTCCAGATTTACGGTAGTTCTCTTCCATCTATACATTTTTATTGCCTTAATAAAAGTGAAAAATTGCTTGCACAGTATTGATATTAATATAAGAAGCTTTCATCATTGTTAAACTTCACCAGTTTAGATAACCTACGTACGGTCGCTAACCTGGATTGAATATAAAAATGTCTTTGTCATGCACAAAGAATGAATAAGACAGATCAAATATAAATTTGACACCACATCCTACAGAGACTGCTGACAAGAGTAAAAATATAAACAATTGAAGTCTTTGTCATTTAACGGACTTGCCTGCATGGGTCAAAGAATAAACCTGATAAAAGGCTTTTATTATTTTCCATTAAACATTTTGATTCCATGATGTTTGATGTTTCATTTCAAAGAGATATCTTTAACGATTGAACTGTCAATGGTTTATGCACACTTTTGTCTACTTATAGGCTTCCACGAAGCAGTTGGTGACGTCATGGCTCTATCTGTCTCTACACCAGAACACCTTCATGAAATAGGTCTCCTGGACAAACTAGAAAACGACACAGGTAGATGGAGCCCAAATAATGTATATTTATTATATGCATGTGGAATGAAAAATCATATAATATCAAATTTAAAATATAATAAATATTCTAAACTGTAGGTTATCATCTAATATTGTAAGTTATTAAACATGTTAATCTCATTTTATATTTCATATATATTTAAAACAAATTTATTCTCTATTAAGAGAAATTACAATAGAAATTGTATACAAGCACACTATTTTCATTGTGGCATGATTTTAATTTGATTATATGATTATAAACGTATATTGTCTAAATTCTTTTTTTAAAATTTTTTTTTCATTTTCCGTACATGAATAATTTCTCATTTTTCCTTCAGAATGACGGCTTTCCTAGTGAGTAGAAAATTGAGTTTTATACTTGTTTTTCCAGAGACTGATCTGAATTTCTTGATGTCGATGGCCCTTGAGAAGATTGCTTTCCTCCCGTTCGGGTATCTTATTGACCAGTGGCGATGGAGTGTGTTCAGTGGGGATACGTCATACACAGACTACAATAAAAAGTGGTGGGAACTTAGGTATTGTCAACAAAACTTCCCAAACTTATAAGTATGTTCAGTTATTGATAAAAATCCCAGATTAGCTATTTTTTAACATACTCAGTAAAGTACAAATTTCTCATAGAGGACAAATATCAGGATAGCCAATTGTAATGAGATGATGCACATATGTAACATGGTGACAAACAATATATGTCTGTTGATTTTTACCATAAACTATAAACTCCAATTGTTTGTCCAGATGCAAGCACCAAGGTATTGCTCCACCTGTGCAGAGATCGTCGGACGATTTTGACCCAGGTGCTAAATACCATGTACCAGCCAACGTCCCCTATATCAGGTATACACCTCTTCACCGCCTGTGACGATTACACCTGTACATCATTATTTGAATGCGCAGTTCTAAAATTGCTTGACAAAGAAATCCATTTAATCGTTTGTTAACTTTCCTTTTTCATTTTAGGTATTTTGTTAGCTTTGTGATTCAGTTCCAGTTTCACCAGGCTCTGTGTAAGGCAGCGGGCAAGACTACGGTTCCACTTCACAGATGTGACATTTACAAATCAAAGAAAGCAGGACAAAAATTAAGGTTTGTACCATACACTTAACAAATTTGCAAACAAAGGCCTCAATTTATTTTCTTCTGTAAAACTCCCTTAGTCTCATCAGCACCAAAATTTGTATTTGGCTGCCCAATGAAGTCGTTTTTATGGTTGTCTTGCAGTCACAACCCTCTAATGGCCTTTTCTCCGCTTATATACATTTCAACGATTGTGTACTTAAATGGACAAAAGGTTTCTGGTGATGGTCAATTAGGTTGCAATATTGATGGTAGTGTCCTTGTCTCTGAAATAGTGTAGCAACTCCATGGCCAAGTAATCGTTCAGTGTTTCTTTGGTATTCGTATCTGTGCCTGTATCCGATCAGATTAACTTCCACTTGCCTCAAATTTGCGATACAATGATAGAATTGTTGTGATGTGTCTAATGAATGCCGTTGCTGCCCATAAAAAAACATTTTTACTTGTTGATATAGTCTTCGTAAAGTAGAATGAACAATTTTTCCCCCAAAGAAATTTATGATTTACAATCCTTTACTTAATGATTGCAATCTTAAATACAGAGAGAAATGCTAAACAACATCTAAGACATGTTATTGTATAATAAAATTGATAAAATTCTAACTTTATTTCTGTGTCTATGTCCCTTTAAAAGATATTTTCCCTTCACAAAGACTGAAGTCATGCATCTTTAAATATTATCACCAATGCAAGATATGCCCACTAGTTTCATAACGATAACTAAGACACTCCATGAACACTTCAGTAGACGGATTCTTTCTTTGATTTAGAACTTGTTTTTCCTTTAGAATGTACAAATAGTTACATGTATCTCAAAATTTGATTGTAGTGTAAATGTGGAATGATATATTAAAACTTTTCAAGTTCCACTCAAACTATCAGCATACCGTATATCCGGTTGTTTTTTTTCGCGATGATCTGTTTTTGGGGATCATTTTGAATTCGCAAAATATAAAACACGCAGAAATATAATCATCAATGCAAGATATGCCCACAAGTTTCATACCGATAAGTAAGACACTCCATGAACACTTCAATAAACGGATTCTTTCTTTGATTTAGAACTTTTTTTCCTTTAGAATATACAAACAGTTACATGTATCTTAAAATTTGATTGTAGTGTAAATGTGGAATTATATATTAAAACTTTCCAAGTTCTATTCAAACTATCAGCATACCGTATATCCGGGTTTTTTTTCGCGATGATCTATTTTTGGGGATCATTTTTAATTCGCAAAATATAAAACACGCAGAAATATAATCATCAATGCAAGATATGCCCGCAAGTTTCATACCGATAAGTAAGACACTCCATGAACACTTCAATTCTTTCTTTGATTTAAAACTTTTTTCCATTAAAATTTACAAATAGTTAAATGTATTTCAAAATTTGATTGTACTATAAATGTGGAATTATATATTAAAACTTTTCAAGTTCCATTCAAACTATCAGTATACCTTATATCCGTATTTTTTTTCGCGATGATATATTTTTTTTGCGATCAATTTTAATTCGCAAAATTCAAAACACGCAGAAATTATGTCAGCTATAATGTGACATAAACATTACCAATTTATACAAAAAATCAATCGTAAAAAAAGTTACGCAAAATAAAAACTGTACTTATGTAACCCTTTTTTGCAATAATTCCAACACGCGAAAAAACCAGATATACGGTATTGTAAAATAACTTTTTTACGATAATTTGACTAGTCAAACGATAGTGATTCTGCAATTCAGATGACAGACCAGTTTCTTATTTTAGTGACATGCTGAAATTAGGATCTTCCGTGTCCTGGCCAGAGGCAATGGAGAAAATTACCGGACAGCGTGAAATGAGTGCAGAACCTTTAATGGAGTACTTCAAGCCTTTGACAGACTGGCTGAAGAAAGAGAACGAAGGAGAAGACTTAGGATGGACAGAAGCGTGCCCAGGGTCTGGACGGAGTGGACACGGAGATGACCCCTCGGGATGGTTAGAGGAGTACAACAAGGCGGCACAACAACGGATTTATGAAGAGACGGAAGTGGAGTGGAATTATGCGACAAATATCACAGACGAAAATTCAAAGAAACTGGTACATTGTGAATGTATATTCATTCCCTATACTCCTGTTTTGGTTTGCATAATAATGCGGTCTTTTATGTTTATAAATGTTTCCTAAAGCTTGCTGTTGCAGTATGGTTTGACAAATTCTATTTATATGTTCATTATCATCTTTTTTAATAAAAAAAAAGAACTTGTATGAATCAAATTTGACAGTCCCCTAGCTTTAAAAAATCTCTGATTTTAGGTTGACGCAAGGTTAAAGAAAGCGAAATTTGAAAAGGAGGCGGCTCAAAATGCATCTCTGTTGTTAAAAGAATACGATTCCAGTCTGACTACAATCGAGAAAAGGGAACTGAAGAAAATATCCATAATAGGAACAGAGGCATTAAAAGACGAGTCAAAATTAAAGCAGGTACACTGAATACTAAACTCTCAATAAAAAACAAATTGAATGTGAAACATCTCCATGCACATTACTTAACTGTTATGCAAGGAGCTAACGAGCTAGTTATTTCCAGTTAAACACTTTACAATCGGAGATGGAAGGAATATACGGCAAAGCCAAAGTTTGTGTAGAAAAGGAGAAATGTCTGTCTCTTGAGCCAGGTAAATAAACATACCCCAGGTATTGTCAAAAATTAATTTTGTACTGATGACCATATAAAAATACTATATAGTGGTTCAAACAATAAAAAAAATCGTAAAAAATATTCAGGATTAAAGTAACTCAAATGAGCGCTATGCTCCTTGACTTCTATAGTTTTTTTCTTTTAATTTTTCATCAGACATCTACCATATTGTGGCGACCTCCCGGAATTACTCAGAACTTGAATTAGTGTGGAAAGGTTGGAGAGATGCCAGTGGGAGGAGGATGAAGGATAAATACGAACAATTTGTGGCCCTCAGCAATCAGGCGATACAGGATTTAGATCAAGGTAACGTGGTCTCACTACATTTTATAGTAAAGAATCTCAAGAAAATATATTTTTCTGGGCAAAGCAAGCTTACCATAGTTTGGAGGTTGTCAGTGGTATAGTAACAATACGGAGTATTTTTAAAATTAAGTACGTTGCAAAAATACTGTCTTTAGATAGATAATCTTTCAGATTGAAAATACGTCCGCTGGCTAGTTGTTTTCTCTACATCCAAGAATTGTTCACTCAATTGGCTGGTGAAAGGTTTGAACCTGTTACCGGCATTTATGGCCTTTGAGCAGTATGGATTCGTTTTTGTTTCATTAATTACTGCGAAATGGAACATGTTTCGATTACGGTTTCATCTATAGGAACGGTCTCCACGTCCTTCGATGGGTATTGGAGGCAATTTATCTTAAGTTTGATATACCTAATGGGATATGTACACAGCAACTTTTCTATTTTCTATTTCTAAATCTTTCACTTTTACACAAACTCAATATGTTCTAAGCTTTCATATTTGTGTAAATCCTATATTGCCATTATAAAATAATATATAAAAGAAGCAGCAAGCTAGAGATAAAAATACAAAGCATTGAGATACATATTGCACAAATACTACACCACAAAAAGATACCAGTTTAATGGTAATCAAAGGCAATGTAAGATTATCAAAACGACCATTCAGTTCAGCTTGGTACAAGTTTACATGTAGCTGCATGCTTTAGGAAATCAAGCAGTATATCTTGTTTTGAGAAATGTTACTGACATTTCTGAACAAAATCGCTCTATTGAAGGGTTTAATGACACTGGCGACTACTGGCGATCGTCTTACGAGAGTCCCACATTTAAGGAGGATTTAGTTAGTTTGTTGGAGGAGCTCAAACCCCTGTATCAGGAACTACACACTTACGTCAAAAAGAAGCTCATCCAGCTCTATGGAGCGGAAAGGTTTCCCAAAACTGGACATATCCCCGCTCATCTTCTAGGTAGGAATTAAAAAAGGATCAACTTAACGATTACATTTTAATTCTGATTACTTTTAAATATAACGGCAAAATTATATATAGAATCCGGATCCATTGATCTATTACAATTTGATAATGTAATCATTAGAGAATATTTCGTTTTATTTCCTTAAAAAAGTTGTATTTTTATCGTATTCTATTGATACAGACAAGAATAGATAAATTATGATATCATACAAATGTATCAATAGTTTTATTAAATTATTTATATTTCAATGTTTTTTAGGAAACATGTGGGCCCAGCAATGGAACAATATCTATGATATAGTTATTCCATTCAAAAATAAAACACGTGTGGACGTTACTCCGACCATGATAGCTAAGGTATCAAAGCATCTTATTTCAATAAAATTACTCAGTTATTAATTAATCTGGAAGATGCTGTATAAATTGATTTTTTGGAGAACTTCCCGATTCCACGCACATTGGCCAAAGAGAACTTGTAAAAGAACTTTATTCTCCAATTGCCCAATTTCAACTAGGCCTTACCAAGAAAAACAAAATATTCTATAGGAGTCTGACATGTTTAAAAATTAAAAGCATTGTCAAATTCATTGTATTCATCAAATATTTTTGGAAAACATGTGCACAAGATATTCAAATGTTTAAAATTACACTTTTGCATTGGAATCTGTATTCCGTTATAAATATTTTGCTTAAAAATTTGGATGCTAATTTTCGTTAAGCGTTTCATATCTTCCTTATGGCAGTTTAATGATGTCCGATGATCGAGTTTAATTATTCTGAAGAAATTCCTTGTTTCCCTTTTAGTTTAAGTCTGTGGTAGTTTTATATTTAATAATTCTGTTTGATTATAAAATTATAATGATAATACTCCCTGTTCTGCCATCTGGTAGTTGCATATTAAGAAACAATTCAGTTAGATAATAGCATAATAAAAATAACTCTGTTTGATTATAGCATTATAACGCAACGAAGATGTTCCGCGTTTCTGAGGAGTTCTTTATTTCCCTTGGACTGAAGCCTATGCCTCAGACATTCTGGAACAAGTCAATGATAGTTAAACCGCCCGGCCGTGAGGTGGTATGTCACGCCTCGGCCTGGGACTTCTATAATCAGAAGGATTTCAGGTACCGCACCATCCAGCCAGGATCTGTTACTCGTTTCTTTTTACATTCACTTTTCCAAACATTATGAAGATTTTAAACTACGTCATTAAAGATGAAAATATAGCTGTTTAATCATGTTAGTGATTAAGATATAACCGCATCAAAAAAAGTTTGAAACCAAATTTTGACAAATATATTGATATATTCATAAATGTGAAATGACAAAACATTTTGTTATAGAGGATTCTGTTACTTTTCCATTTTCATGATCTATTAACCATATTTTGCTTTCGGTCACACCATGTTTTGGTCAATGTAAGAAGATAAGTGTTCAAGAAGTTGCCAAATCTTACTTTAATTGATTTCTATTCTGTAGACTGTGAAGATATCAGCTTCATGGCAATTAGTATAAATATTTATCAAAATATGACTTGATTTGTTAGAATTAAGATGTGTACAGCTGTAAATATGGAGGATCTGATAACTATACACCATGAAATGGGACACATCCAGTATTACCTACAGTACAAAGATTTACCGGTCAAATTCAGAAGAGGAGCCAATTCTGGTTAAAGAAATTATCTCTTGTTCTTGTTTGATTTATCTAAGTTGATGTAACAAGACATAAATGAGATGACACAGTACATGTTTTTAATCAAAACAGCGTATTTATAATTTTTCTATGATATTCGCTAAGTTTTATACATAGAGACGGCATAACTTTGAGGAATCTCATTTTCTGAGGTAATAAAAATACGCAAACAAGTTTTAAGGTGCGATCTACTGCATTTTAATTATAGGTTTTCATGAAGCAATCGGGGACACAATGGCTCTTTCTGTTTCTACTCCTAAACACCTACATAGAATCGGGCTATTGGATGAAGTTCAAAACGATACAGGTTATCATTTTATATTGATTAAGTGAATAAAAATAAAAGGCTTCTTTGTGATTAAAGCTGATGTGAAAATGAATTCTGTATGAAAAGTAATTATGTTATTAAGGATGACGTTTACTCAGGTTTCAGAAAACAGTAAGGAAATTTTATAAAGTATAATATTTTAAATCAAAAATTGTTCTAAATGGATAAAATATCTAAGTTTTAACTCATTATCAATTAAAAAATTGATATTTTATTATTTGAAGAAAATATACAGGAGCAAAAGTCAATGAATGGTAATGCAGGGTAAATTCGCACTAAATTTTAAACTTTTTATTTTTGTCAAAATCTTTTATTTCTTGCAATATTAATCACAATGTAAAAGTTACATGTATTTTTAATACAACATCATTTTGCAAATATCATAGGTGTTAAAGCTCATGAATTATTTCAAATTATTTCACATAATCGAATGCTATGAAATAACGGAATTCCAAAATATGAGCAACACTTCCAGACAACATATCTCAATAATTTGATCATTGACCCCATATAATGTCAATACGTTGAGAATTAGAGCAACAAAGGTAACCTGAAACTCTATATAATTTAGAGTTCTTATCATTAAGATTTTTGTAATATTCGACTAAAAATGGGGAAAAAATATAAATATGACAGAGGAAATTCGGGCTGAAATAATTATCAAGCTTTTGGCCAAAACTCTAATCGTTTCTTTACATGAAGCAAAACTGTTCCATTGCTATATTTCATTTTTAAAGAGTTTTGTTGCTTGTAATATTTTGTGAGTGCAGAATAAAATGGTCATAGTGTGAAAACTTGAGGTATATCCTGAGAAATACTTAGGGGCCACTAGCATGAAAAGTAGGTCATTGACCTAGTAATTTGAAATTGAAATTTAACACCAGAATTATAGGTGTACAATGTGCAATAGGTGGTTTTTCGTTCTTATCAGTGGAATTTTTAGTCATTTGAGTAAAGGTATATCTTCAATGCAGTAAAGAGTATTTTCTTTGTAAGCCTCCCATTCGTCACAAAAAGACATTTTTTTCTGGTATTTAATAGAAGCTGATATTAATTTCCTGATGAAGATGGCACTAGGGAAGATTGCGTTTCTCCCCTTTGGGTACCTCATCGACCAGTGGAGATGGAGTGTTTTCAGTGGAGAGACGCCCAAAGACAAATACAACCAAAAGTGGTGGGAACTGAGGTACCGAAGGGATCTTTTAGACAAATATTGGCATTTCACATTGAAAGAATGAAATGATTATGTAATTATTTGTAAGGCTCATTATTACAATTCCATTTTTAAAAAATGATTTTCGGTCTATTAGTCATTATTAAATTTTCCATAATTCCCTTTCTGCGGATGAAATTCTTCAAATCATGTTTCATTTTAATTATTTTTAATATTCCCAACAATTAAAATGAATTTGATTAATCATATCTTATTATGTGTCAGCTTTTTAATATCTCCTCAACAATTCCAACCGCCAAGAAGAACTTTCATCAGCATACCAATACTTTATGCATTAACTTCATAAAAGTAATTAAAAACAAAGATATTAAGGCGAGCTCTTGTAAATGTTCTACAATGGCTTTTACTGAATTCCTAACGAAAATGTTCTCTATAGAATTAAAAGAATGTGAATTTTTTTTTATTTTTACTAAACAATAAATATTATTCATATCCTATTACTTAGATGTAAATATCAAGGTATATCTCCGCCAGTGGATCGGTCAGAAGAGGACTTTGACCCCGGTGCAAAATACCACATACCAGCTGATACACCATATATTCGGTAGGTATTTCATGGGAATTAGCAGAGTTAGATCACATTCGGTGGGTATATCATGGGATTCAGCAGGCATAAGGCTCATTCGTTAGGTATATCATAGGATTTGGCAAGGGTAGATCACATTTGGTACGTGTATCATGGAATTTGGAATGGGTAGATAACATTTGAAAGGTATGTCATGGGATTGACAGTAGTACATCACATTCGGAAGGTATATCATGGGATTGGCAGTAGTACATCACATTCGGAAGGTATATCATGGGACTGGCAGGGGTACATCACATTCGGTAGGTGTATAATGGGATTTGGCAGGGGTAAATCAAATTCGGTGGGATTATCGTGAGATTTGGCAGGATAGATCACATTCGGTGGGTTTATCATGGGATTTGGCAAGAGGTAGATCAAATTCGGTGGATTTATCATGGAATTGGAGGGGGTAGATCACTTTATAGGTATATCATGGGATTTAGCAGGGTTAGATCACATTCGGTAGGTATATCATGGAATTTGGCAGAGGTTGATCACATTCGTAGGGTTTATCATGAATTTAGCAAGGGAAGATGGCATTCGGGTTTATCATGGATTTGGCAGGGTAAGATCACATTGGGTAAGTATGTCATGGGATGTGGAAAGAATAGATCACATTTGTAGGTATATCATGGGATTTGGCAGGAATAGATAGGTATATCATGAATTTGGCAGGTGTAGGTCACATTCCGCAGGTATATCATAGAATTTGGCAGGGATAGATCACAATGGGTGGTTATTTCATGGGATTTGGCAGGAGTTGATCACATTCAGTGGGTTAAATCAAGGGATTTGGCGAGGGAAGATGACATTCGGTCGGTTTATCATGGTTTCTGTTTCGAAAGGGTATATCCCCGTCCCATTTATTTGTCCATGTATCTTATTGGTAAGATTTTACCTCTTTCTAAGTTGCTCTCTTATAAAAACAAAGGCATCTTTTTTTCTTTGCAGATACTTCGTTAGCTTTGTACTACAGTTTCAGTTCCATAAGGCACTCTGTGAAGCTGCAGGACAAACTGGTCCCTTGCATCAGTGTGATATCTACCAGTCCAAGGAGGCAGGGAAGAAACTAGGGTATAAGCCTTGAACGTACATAAATTTAAATGTTGTTCCTTTTCCTTTTATTTATTTCCCATTTACACTAAAATCTCTTACTTTTTCTGCGAAAATAAAGCAAATCGGCTTTGAATTGTTTTCCTTGTAAAGCTGTCAATGATCATATTGTCAATTTAAGGACAGATAATACAATCAAAAAATGGATGCCTGGATCGATATATATTTTTGGGCCTACTTTCATTACAAATGATGCAAATAACAAAATTCTAGAGTATAAAGAAATTGTAAACCTGTGATGTTCAAAAGTCTACCCTTCTGAAATCATCCTTATTAATCTATACAAAATATTTTCACATTTTGTGAAATTTTAATAAAAAATTAAAAACTACGAGATGAAACTTATTCATTTTACTCCTTTAAACATGACCCAAGTCATTATTTTCATTTTTTTTTTTACATAAGATTGTATCATCTGTCCTTAAAAACATATTTTCATTTTTTGAGTTACATCATTTTTCAGGGACATGCTCAAGTTAGGATCTTCTGTTCCATGGCAAACAACAATGCAACAGTTAACAGGACAAAGTAAAATGAGCGCAAGCGCAATCATTGAGTACTTTAAACCTTTAACTGATTGGCTGAAAAATCAAAATGGAGACAGTGTCAAAGAATGGCAGGAGAAATGTCCCACATATTTATCAGACGGCGATAAAGCAGCAAAGGAATGGTTAAAGGGATATAACGTAGCGGCACAGAAAGCTTATTATGAAGAATCGGAGGTGGAATGGTCTTACGCCACCAACATTACTGACGAAAACGAAGAAAGGCAGATAAAGGCCAGGCTAGAACTGGCTCAGTTAGATAAAGAATGGGCTAGGAACGCTTCGTCCATTTTACGTGAACACAAAATATCAAAACTGACGGATAGCGGGAGACAATTGTCAAGCATTTCTAATATAGGAAGCAGCGCTCTCAGGAATCAAACGATGCTTGAAAATGTGAATATATGTACTTGTTCTCGTGAAACATATTTTATTTGAATTAATAAAAACACCTATTTACTGTATTTAAATTTGGAAATAAGTTCTAGAATTAATACAAAGACCAAATTACATTTTTTAAAAAAAATATTTATTTGCAGTTAAACAAACTTCAGTCAGAAATTGAAGGCCTCTATGGCAAGGCACAACTTTGTCTGAACAATAATCAATGTCTGTCCCTTGAGCCAGGTAAAATGTTATCTTTTAAAAACTCAATTAAGAATTGTGCATCAGAAATTTACGAGAGGATCGAGCTTTTATGGATAAGAAATTGTACGTGTTGTTTATCTGAAAACGCTGACTGAGTTTGTATCGCTTTCATTATCAGACATGTACAGAATAATGTCCACATCGCGGAATTTTACGGAGCTACAGACGATCTGGAGAGGATGGAGAGATGTCAGTGGCAAGAAAATGAAAGAAAAGTACGCAGAATTCGTGAAACTGAGTAATCAGGGAATAAAGGAACTGGGAAGGGGTAAGAACCAAAACTACTCAAGTCATTGTAAACATTATTTTGGAAAAGCAACAATATATTTAGAATGGCGTGTGATAATTTATTAAATATTTACGGTCAAATAGCATTCCTTTATATTAGATACAATCCTCTTCAGTAAGAACTTGTCATTTTAAATGTAAGATTTAGCTTTGATCTATTTGCTAGTATGAATTGAGCATTTTCCCTGGAAGGGGATTTTGGGTACACTGTTTTGTTTTTATTTTGTTTTCAGAATATCTAGATTTTTGTAATTTTTTTTTTTATAATTTTTAATTATTTTGTATCATTTGGAGAAAGAGGATGACATCTGCACAGTAAATCCTGTCTGTACAAAGTGCTTAAAGTATTTCACAGCGTAAACAAAACATAAACCAGTGAAATAATTTTGTCTCTAACTTTAAGGTTATAAGGACACTGGAGATTACTGGAGATCGTCATACGAGAGTGATACATTCCAGGACGATCTCCGAGAGCTGCTTGAGCACCTTAAACCTTTGTATCAGGAACTACATACATACGTCAGAAAGAGGCTCCGTCAATTCTACGGAGCAGACAAATTCCCTAACTCAGGACATATACCGGCCCACTTACTGGGTACATTCTAAAGCATTAATTACAACATGCTGAATATGCAAACATCTTATTTTAAAAATTTGAATTTATAAATTAAATATGTTTATGTAAAACTTAGTCAAATATTTGTAAGGCAATTGAAGGTATATTTCTGCAAGATACAAATCAACAAACCTTTTAAAGGTTGTATTACATTATTCTCAATATCCCGCTACTTTGAATGTCAAACGACAATTGTACACATCGTTTTTTTTTTGTAGGCGTTCTTCATTATATTGGTGAATTTTATATCCAATTATTGCATATTGTTCTGTTTAAGGAAATATGTGGGCACAAGAATGGCAGAATATTTATGACCTCCTTATACCATTTAAAGGCAAAACTAACGTCGATATTACTCCTACATTAAAAGCAAAAGTAAGTCATATGAGATGTAAAATTTCTTATTCCCCACCACAGTTTACACTAAAAGATTTTATTTGTTGTAAATCTCAATTACAGAATTACACAGCACATCGGATGTTTAAAACAGCGGAGAGTTTCTTTAAGTCCCTCGGTTTGGAACCAATGCCAGAACCGTTCTGGAATAAGTCAATGATTGTGAAGCCTCCGGGACGGGATGTCATATGCCATGCTTCTGCCTGGGATTTTTATAATCAGAAAGACTTCAGGTTATATATATATATCCTATCCTGGACATTTATGTACCCAGTATTATTTTCACTTTCATTCAATGTTTTTTTTTCCTTTTTAATTTTTCGATGAAGAATTAAGATGTGTACCGACATAACAATGGAAGATTTGATTACTATTCACCATGAGATGGGACATATACAATATTATCTACAGTACAAGAACTTATCTGTGACCTACAGAAGTGGTGCTAATCCAGGTATAATTGGCTTACCTTTACTAAAAGCTTCATCTTATCAGCTTTATTTAAAAGCTGCCTAACTTTTTATAAAGTTCGAATGATATATCGTCTAAGAATGACAATACAGTGACACCATATCTTTTGAGCTTAAATGAACCCCACATTCAGAAATGCTAATATTACTGAGAAATATTGAAGGATTCCATGAAGCTATAGGAGATACTATGGCCTTATCAGCATCAACACCGAAGCATTTACACAAAATAGGACTTCTGGAGAACCTGCAGAGTGATCCAGGTATAGAGCCAGCTGTACTTGCAAATACATATTTATCAAAATTGAAATACATGTATGTATATACAAGAAGATAAATACAAAATAAAAATATTAAGTTACAAAATTTATTGTGTTGAAAGTAACTATGCCTTGGAAAGTACTCAGTATTATTTACCTCGGTCAGAGACTGACTTGAACTACCTGATGAAGATGGCTCTGGAGAAGATCGCCTTTCTTCCCTTTGGTTACCTGATTGACCAATGGAGGTGGAGCGTGTTCAGTGGGGAGACAACTCCGGATTATTACAACGAGAAATGGTGGTCACTGAGGTAGGAAAAACAGTCTATAATAAAATTATGTATTATCTATGATAGTTTTTGCAGTTTAACATGTACTTTGGTAAAGAGATACAATATTTCAATGTTGACTTCGACCATCTCGATACACTTTTGCTGATCGTCATAGGGATAGTAATTGAAACAGTATTTGTTCATCGGTGAGTTCGCACAATTTTTAAGTGTATAAAATGGATTAAATTAGAAAATAAATGAAATTCAGAACTTTCAAATTGATGTGATTTCTTTTCTGTGGATTCAGGTGCAAATATCAGGGAATCTCTCCACCAGTAAAAAGAACAGAAGATGATTTTGACCCAGGAGCCAAATACCACATTCCCTCCAATACACCGTATATAAGGTTGGTCCACAAATATCCGTTTGTCGGTTTTAAACAATCAAACAGGTGCGTTTTATTCAAAGAATAATAATCTTGCATCCATTGTCTGCTTTGTTTCAGGTATTTTGTCAGCTTTGTTATCCAGTTCCAGTTCCATAAAGCTTTATGTGAGGAGGCGGGACAGACAGGGCCACTTTATCAGTGTGACATTTATCAGTCAAAAGAAGCGGGCAAGAAACTGGGGTATGACAGAACCTGCAGACATAATTCTTAATTTTAAAATTCGCATTTATTCGTCTTTGTAATCAACTTAGGAAACACTTTTCGAGATATTTTCAATTTTACTTCTTTATTACTTCAGTGACATGCTTAGGTTAGGGTCTGCTTATCCATGGCAACATGCAATGGAGAAATTAACAGGGAGCCGGAAGATGGATGTGGGACCTTTGATTGAGTACTTTAGACCCTTGTTGGATTGGCTGAAGGTCCAGAACGTAAACGAGACAGGTGGCTGGATGGAGGAATGTCCTGCTTTTCTAAATAAAGTAGATACAAACATGGCTGAACAATGGCTAAAGAAGAATGACGAGCTAGCTCAGATAAAACTCAGCGAGGAGAGTGAAGTAGAATGGATGTATGCAACAAACATTACAGACAAAAACGCACGGAAACAGGTCACTGTCTACAAGATTAATTTTGTATTGATCTTAACAATGAAGATGATATACTTCATTTGATATATTATTTCTATTTCAGGTAGAAGCACGGATTAAACTCGATAATTATTTAAAAGATTCGGCAAGACAAGCATCTTACTTACTTCGAGCTCTTAACATCTCAAAAACTACGAGAACTGGACGGGAGTTGTTCAAAGTATCTGACATTGGAACAAGTGCCCTTACGGACAAGTCCAAACTGAAAAAGGTATAGGCCTATATACTAGTATTTGCAAAGGTTTTTTTTTTATCTTTTATGATCATCTTTTAAGAAGATTGAAATGTTTATATATGCATTGGTGAATTGCCCATTGTCCAATAACTTGGATGTCTATAAATGATTTAATATTCAATTTTATATTTGCTAAAAATGCCATGTTTTATTTAGTTGAATGAACTACAGTCAGAAATTGAAGGAATCTACGGAAAAGCTCATTTCTGTGTGAACAATGATACTTGTTTATCTCTTGACCCGGGTAAGAACTTATGGAATAAATTATTCTTATTAACATTTTACGAGGAAATATTTAAACATATTGGTAAAGTAGGTTAATCAGATCTTTATAATTGGCAGATATGTATAGAATAATGTCAACATCCCGAAACTTCACGGAACTAAGAATGATCTGGAAAGGATGGCGGGACGTCAGTGGAAAGAAAATGAAGAATAAATACGCTGAGTTTGTCAAACTTAGTAATGAAGGAATCAAGGAACTTAATATGGGTAAATATTAGGATAGAATATGTTATGGCTAAATTTCAATATGGGTTTTATGTGAATTTAATTTAGGATATTAGTGAGAAATGTGGGAGTTACTAGGTCGTTGATCCTTTAGGAATCCTAAAATCCTGGCTTCTCTAGACATTCTTTTTCATTTGAAGGATCTAATGACACTGGGGAGTATTGGAGGTCAAAATATGAAAGTGCAACATTCCAGGAAGATCTAAAGCATCTTTTAGAACAATTGAAACCATTGTATGAAGATCTCCATACCTATGTACGTAAGAGGCTGAGAAAGCAGTATGGAACAGAGAATTTCCCTGTGTCTGGTCATATCCCGGCTCACTTACTAGGCAAGTCATTAATAAGTGACAGAAAAATATTGTAGAATATTGTATTATTACTGTAGTCTTCTTGGAATCATTAAAGTATTTGGTAATTTGATTTTCAGGGAATATGTGGGCTCAAGAATGGCAAAATATTTACGACTTGGTGATACCATTTAGAAATAAACCAAATATAGATATCACCCCTGTATTAAATGAAAGGGTAAGCAAATTAACATAAATTAAAAAATAAATAAAAGCGATGTGTTTATATTGCTTTTGTGTTCTCATACTGTACATCAATTTAATTGTTAATATTTGTTTATATTAAAACTCTTTCTTTTTTTGCAGAATTTCACGGCACTCCAAATGTTTAAAACAGCCGAAAATTTCTTTACGTCCCTGGGTTTGAAGCCAATGCCTGAGACGTTTTGGAACAAGTCAATGATCATAAAACCTGAGGGCAGAGAAGCTGTGTGTCATGCTTCTGCGTGGGATTTCTATAATCAAAAGGATTTCAGGTATTCAGCACATAAGATAATTATTTTGTTATAAAGTCATTGTCACCAATGGACTTGAAACAGCTTTTAAATCACGATTTAAGTGACTATCTGTGATCGGGAGGTCGTGAGTTCGAATCTCGGCCGCGACTGACCTAAGTCGATAAAAAATAAAAAAAATGGTTAGCAACTGTTCATTCGCCATGCGCTCAGCACTTGAAGTGAAAGTTGCGAGTCCTTCGGATGAGACTTTGAAAACCGAGGCCCCTGTCACGGCAAGGCGTTGGCACGATGATGATCCCAGTGCCGAGTAAAGGTCAAAATTTGAAGCCCTTCACCGGTATATGGTGACGTCTCTATATGAGTGAAAGATTCTCAAATATGACGTAAAACAACATACAGTCAATTAATCAATACTGTGAATGTGTTAAATAGAGATTTACCGTATCCTATGAAAGGAAACATAGCTTTATTTCTTAAAATTCATTTTATTTGAATTTTCTAAATCTCAATTCTCGTAAGATAATTATTTTATTTTTTAAAAGTAACATATTATAGTTTTTAGCTCACCTGAGCTGAAAGCTCAAGTGAGCTTTTCTGATCACATTTTGCCCGGCGTCTGCCTGTCTGTCTGTCTGTCCGTCTGTCCGTCTGTCTGTCTGCCTGTCTGTAAACTTTTCACATTTTCGACTTCTTCTCAAGAACCGCTGGGCCAATTTCAACCAAACTTGCCACAAAGTATCCTTGGGTGAAGGGGATTTCAAATGAAGGGCCAATTCAAGGGGAGATAATTGGGAATTAATGAAAATTTGGTGGCATATTTTAAAAATCTTCTTCTCAAGAACCACTGTGCCAGGAAAGATGAAAGTTATGGGGAAACATCCTCAGGTAGTGTAGATTCAAGTTTGTTCAATTCATGACCCCCGGGGGTAGGGCGGGGCCAAAATGGCCGACCAAAGTTTTACATAGAAATATATAGGAAAATTCTTTAAAAATCTTCTTCTCAAGAATGACAAAGCCATAATTCATCATATATATATGGAAGCATGCTCAGGTAGTGTAGATTCAAGTTTGTTCAAATCATGACCCCCGGGGGTAGGGCGGGGCCAAAATGGCCGACCAAAATTTTACGTAGAAATATACAGTGTATAGGAAAATTCTTTAAAAATCTTCTTCTCAAGAATGACAAAGCCATAATTCATCATATTTATATGGAAGCATCTTCAGGTAGTGTATATTCAAGTTTGTTCAAATCATGACTCCCGGGGGAAGGGCGGGGCCAAAATGGCCGACCAAAGTTTTACATAGAAATATATAGGAAAATTCTTTAAACATCTTCTTTCAAGAATTAATTCATCATATTTATATGGAAGCATGCTCAGGTATATCAACCCCCGGGGGTAGGGCGGGGCCAAAATACAAAGTTTTTAAAGATATATATAGGAAAATTCTTTAAAAATCATTTTCTAAAAAATAGCAAATCCATGATTGGTCATGGGACTACTTTTGTAAGAAACCATTTTCTACTTTTTCCTACCCTTAGTGCTCAGGTGAGAGATGTGGCCCATGGGCCTCTTGTTAATTTCATAACAAAATTTTATAAATAGTTTTCAAGTTAAATCCATTTTTATTACCATGATATATACATGAGTATAATAAATCACGCTTATTTGTGTTAGATTTGAGAATTATCGAAAATTACATTGATTATTATCTTACTAGAATCAAAATGTGCACTGACGTCACAATGGAGGACCTGATAACCATTCATCACGAGATGGGACACATTCAGTACTACCTTCAGTATAAGGATCTCCCAGTGGCCTTCAGAGAAGGCGCCAATCCAGGTTATACTTGCAGCTATTTTTTTCCAGAAATATATCTATTTTAATTTGTCGTCTTTGGAAATGCTGCAAAATAATGTTTACAGAATTGGATGTAGATTAAGTGAAAGTAAAGACATTTTTTGTCAATATCAAATATGGTTTATTGGCAAATTATTTTGAAAAAACTTAAGATGCAAATTTTGAATATTGTAATTTGAAATTAAGCACCCATGGATTACTTCTATGTTTCTGAAATCTTGACATTTTCAACGAATTTATCTAGAAAGTTTGATGTAAAAAAATTATTTCAGGTTTCCACGAAGCAATAGGCGATACCATGGCTCTATCTGTTGCAACACCAAAACACTTGCATAAAATAGGACTTTTGAAAAATCTTGTAAATGATACAGGTCTGGGGTGAAACGAATTATTCTGTCTGATTTTCATTTAAACTATCAAAATTATGTGTTTGTCTGCTTTTTAGTACTTTTGATAAATGTACTAAATTCTATGAAGGAAGTTGTTAATTAATTTTTATCATATTTCATAGAAACAGATATTAATTTCCTGATGAAAATGGCACTGGAGAAGATCGCTTTTCTCCCCTTTGGGTACCTCATTGACCAGTGGAGATGGAGTGTTTTCAGTGGAGAGACGCCCAAAGACAAATACAACCAAAAGTGGTGGGATCTAAGGTAATGAGAGAGAGGAAGAGAGAGATGGAGCAAGAGAGAGCAAAAGAGAGAGATGGAAAATGAGAGCATAGAATACCTGTAATGCTTAACAAGAGAAACTCGGATTTCACCTGTTGCATGATTACAGGTGTCAGTATCAAGGTATCACTCCACCTGTGGAGAGGTCTGAAGAGGATTTTGATCCCGGAGCTAAATACCACATTCCTTCAAACACCCCTTACATCAGGTTTGTTTGCAATTTTCATTAGTGTTTGGATCTGAGAACTTCATTTTTAAATGTCATCAAGTTTTTGTTTTTAAATATACATATGTAATTCTAGGTACTTTGTGAGTTTTGTGATACAGTTCCAGTTTCATAAGTCTTTGTGTGAAGCGGCCGGACAGACGGGTCCTCTGTATCAATGTGATATCTATCAGTCTAAAGCAGCAGGACAAAAATTAAGGTACGACATATTTCCTTTGACCTATTATGCATTAAGTGTGAAACAGGGCATACCACGCTTGCCAGTCTTATTATAGCAGCTTTAAACAAAGTTATTGCAAAATATTTCACTCAGATTGTACTGTTTCTAACACCATCGTTGGTTATTGCTATTCCCGCCATTTACAAGATGATTGTCGCTAGAACTGGATGCAAAATTTCTATACTGTATTGTCTTGCATACGAAAGATTAACTGTAATATTTACAGTGTATATTCCGGTTAGAAAGGTAGGCATATTCAAGTTCTGTACGTAAAATGAAATAATTATATGTCCAGATTAATATTATGTATCAAGAAGACATATCTTTGACCAGACACAGCTGTATCGAGCAGTATATCATAGAACATTTGAAATCATCCAATAATTAGGGATTAACTCCGATTCTCAAAGTTTCCTTGGCCCTTTTAACATTATTGAACATGGTACTATTATCTCAGGTCGGGGGGGGGATTGTTATAATTGCTTGTTGTAATATACTAGTAGATAAATCTCTTTTCATGATAACTCCAATAATATGTTTATTTACCATATAACATGCATAAGATTCACTGATATATATGTCTCATCTAATTTGCTTTGAAAGTTTTTAGTGTATTGAGAATGAAAACAACACTGAATTTAAATTTGCTTTTCAGAAACCTGCTAAAAGCGGGATCTTCCAAACCTTGGCCAGAGATAATGAGAGAATTGACAGGGCAATCCAAAATGGATGTCTCTGCAATTTTAGAGTACTTTAAACCTTTGCATGTGTGGCTAAAGGAGCAAAATAAAGGCGAAATGAAAGGTATTCCTGTACATCAAAACACATATATTACGTCAGAAGCAGGTGGATAAAGTATCATAACCTTTACACAGATATACGTTAAATACTGTTTAAGATACAAAACACCTGATCCCATCTCTCTAGATATTTCTATAAGGAACTCTTTTGCTTTATTCTCAGTTTGTACTGTTTAATTTGACCTCTAAGCATGCTTACTATTCATGATCTTCACGTTTCTAGGTTTTGCAAAAAGAAAATGAGGAATAATTTAATTGTAGGATGGGAGAAGAATTGTAACAGGTTTACGTATGGACAGTTGTTCAGCTTTTGGTTGAAGAACTATGAAGATAGGGCTCAAACAGAGTTTCACAACAACATGAAAGCAATTTTTGAATATGAATCAAATATAACCGATTATAACGAAGGAAAAAAGGTAACTGATATTTCTTGATAAATATGGTGATAAAATTATATTGGATAGGTAAACTTGTTTGTAGGCAAATATAATATTTCACTACGATTAAATTTATGATATGTTCCAAAATGAAACTAATTCTTAAATTTTTATTTGCTTTAAAACCAAGTATTTTTTCTTTTAAAATATTTAGAGAGAAGCTTCATTAAGGTTTACGGACTTTAGGAAAGAGGCATATGACTATGTCAGACATATCGATATTCCCAATATTAAGAATGAGCGACATCGACGGTTATTTGCAAAAATCAAAGATATAGGAACAGGAGCATTAAAAAGCAAACAAGATCTGGGAAGGGTAAGTTGGGGAATTAAATTGATTGTTAGAAAGGGACACATTAAAGAATTCTCTTCATTATTGATCATTGGACATGACACTATCTATATTTAAACGATAAAATTAAGTCGACAAGCATAAAGACCAGTATACAAACAATAAACACTATAAATCTTTCTTTCTGTTAAGGTATGCAAATCTAATAATTTTTAAATAGCTAGAGAGAGAGAGAAGAGAGAGAGAGAAAGATAAAAAAATCTTCCATTTTCAGATGGAAGACTTGGGATCCCAGATGATAAATATATACAGCTCTGCTAAGGTTTCTGTGAATGGCGTTATAAAGGAACTAGAACCAGGTAACAGACAAGTTGTTTGAATTTCTTAATAGCTTAATAATAAAAAAAAAATGTGTATCAATTAAGCTCATTTTCATTAACCCTTTTATCACTATCTGTTATTTCATGCAATCATTCAAGAAACTGACATCTGTACAAAAAACGTTGTAAATGTTAGCTTTTCCCTCTTTTATAATTATTTCGGTGGAAAAATTTGAGGAGAATATAAAGTATTTGTTTCTTATTACAATATCTAATTTTCATTGTTACGTGGAAGATATTTTTTCCTTATCGTATTGAGGTTTAACGAGGATTTTAACCGAATCCTCGAATTATGATGAACTCCTTCAAGTGTGGAAAGGATTTCGAGTTGCCACGGGACCTGCCATTCGACCCTTGTACGTGGAGTTCGTTTATCTAGCAAACAAAGCCATCAGGGATCTGGGCTATAAAGATTATGGGCAATGGGAGAGACGAAGCTTTGACATGGAGACTTTGCCACAGGAAGTTGAGAAGATTTTAAATGGAATGATGCCAATGTATCGTAATCTTCATGCCTACGCAAGAAAGAAACTGATGACGGCGTATGGTGCTAATAAATTTCCTGAAACTGGACACATTCCAGCCCATTTGCTCGGTAACATTTGACTTTAGCTTATAATATTATAAGATAAAGTTATTGTGAGGGCTTTCAAATGAATTCATAATGAAATTTTTTGGATGTTTTGTTTGATTTGAAAAGATCTTTATTAATGTATTATACAAATTAACATTAAATTTAATACAGTACGTGTATTTTAAAACGTTCTCTAAATGATACATGTATAAAATCTATCGTTCATAATACCCGGTATATCATTGATTTGTCATTTAAATCTTCATATGTTGTTGTAATTATTATCAAAGAAATTTTGAAATTTCATTTTCCTATCACGTGTTAAGTATTATTTAGAGAACGAGACGGGTTCTGTATCGTAGATACTTTGGGGGTGGAGACGAGTGCGCGAGCACGAGTCTCCACCCCCAAATTTGTATCTACGATACAGAACCTGTCGAGTTCTCTAAATGATTTGTGACACGATCAATCAAAAATAGCTCCGCCCACTTTATAACTTTGCAGCATCCAAACTTCCGCCAGAGTTCTTTAGATGAGGCCCCGACGGGGAGTGCCATCCGCAGTATATATATTTCCACGGAAAACGTAAAATTCGGTCAGATTAGTTTTGACAATTTAACGGGGTAGACGTAATCGAGTGATAGTCAGTCTTAATGGATAAGGTGGAGGATTTAACCGTCATTGTTGTGATCTATTAAATTGAAGATGGAGATTTATCATAAATTTATTTCACTGAGGGGTCTTAAAATCCCGGTTTATCTAGATTAACAAAAACAGGATTTACAGAAAACTCTTCGATGGACTTTGATGTCACGGATTTTTATTTTCAAATTGAATTGCGACATTAAGAGACGTTTGGCTGTCGTCAGCGAGAAGGGTTTTAAAAAATAAAAACGCGGAAAAATTGGACTTGAATGATTTTGCACGAGGAGAGTGGATGTTTTCCGTTATTGCGAATTTTCCGTTTCGTTTGGAGCGAAATTACGTACAGAGGATGTTTTCCGTTATTGCGAATTTTCCTTTTACTTTGGATCGAAATTACGTGTTGATTCTGTGTGGAATAAGTTTTTAAAAAGTGATTGAGAAATTTTGACATTTTACATTCTCAGGAAAATACCGGGTATTTCTCCAAAATTTATAATAGGAAAACATCAGCATTTACTATTTGTACGTGTTTTTGCTAAGTTGAATCAGATTTATTTTTAGACCGTGCTGTATTTTAGATACAGAATAGTTGGCAAATACAATGCTGTATACAGGGCTTATACAGAACGGAAAGTAGCTCCGCCCACCACAGTCCCGTTCTGTATTGCTAATACAGAACAGTAAACTTCAAAGAAAAACACCGCTATCGTGTCACAATATCAATTATACAGAACAAAATCTCAGTGCTTATATTATTTTACGTTCAAGATGTAAATTGCGTAAAAAAGGTATGCTTAACTAAGTATATGATTCAATTTTAAATTTGATTCTCCAGGAAATATGTGGGCACAGAAGTGGGACAATATTTACCGGTTACTCCAGCCGTATAAGAACTCCGAGCTGATTGACGTCACTCAGGAACTGGTCCGACAGAACTATACAGTCGATAGGATGTTCAGAACGGCTGAGAACTTCTTCGTGTCCCTAGGAATGGACAGAATGACGGATAAATTCTGGAACCTTTCTATGTTAACAAAGCCGTCCAACAGAAAGGTGCTATGTCACGCTGGCGCCTACGATATGTTCTCAGACAAAGATTTCAGGTACAAAAACAGTAACTTGAGGCATCAGTATACGCTAAAACATTAGTGAAGTGTTTTGGATTTTTAAAAATATTTAATTAATTATTTAATTACTGGTATGTCCTGATTTTTTTCTCTAATATGTCAATATATTTGCGTCAGGATAAAGATGTGCACGGTTAAGACTCATGAGAGTTTGATAGTGATTCATCATGAGATGGGACACATCCAGTACTTCATGCATTACGAGAACCAGCCCGTTAATTTTAGAGATGGAGCAAATCCTGGTGAGTGGAAAACCAGCCAGTTATTTCAAAAAAAACAATAGCCTTGTTGCTTTATGTGCAGATTATGAAATAATACTTGCGTGTATTGTGTTGTATACATTTTGTTATTATCTTTAATTAGAAGGAATGGTATTTTTTAATCTGACATTTGTTCATTCATTTTTAATGATCCTTCTCTTATTTATTACATTTTAAGGTAATTAATAGATGAACTTTCAAAGACTGGGATCCTTATTTAATACGATTTTGTTTTGAGATTGTTTCATTGGTCCTTGAAGTTTCTACGATTATAAGAATTTTAAATACTATAAGAAAATCCTCAATAACTCTTAGCAAAAAGTTTATACTCTTCTAAAGAAAACATATACTGGTAGTAAAGTATTCTCTCGGAATGTATTAAATGAATATGCAAATTTACTTCTCATTCATAGTGTTCTTATATATGCTTTTATTTTCCAGTCCTATAGCTTGTTTTCTCTGATAAATGTTAGAGTACTAGATAAGTTTAACTTTCTTCTTTATTAATTGTAGGTTTCCATGAAGCCATAGGAGACACGATATCTCTGTCTGTACAGACCCCTGGGCACCTCCAAAAGATAAACTTGCTAAATACAACCAGTACAAACAATGGTACAGTTATAATGTCATTATCAAGGTCTTCCGTCTTCAGTGAAGACCTTCTTCTTATTGTAGAGGGGCCAGAAGTTTTTTCCTGATGTCTTTAAAAGTATTGAAAATTTGCTATACAATTCAGAAGCAAAGTTGTTCAAAATGTCAATTTCAATAAATTGGGGTCGTCAAAATTCATCCAAATGTCGTCACTTCCAAACCAAATCAAACCAGAAATAGCTAAAATATCTTACTTTTGCAATAATTAACATAGATTTGGAGGATTTAAACAAGTTTTGGACGTCATTACTCATTTTGAAAAAAAATGAAAGTTACTTCCGGTCAAACATGACGGAAGACCTACTCGTTACTTTGCAAACGAGCTTTGCTCTAGCTGTTATAATTTTTTGTGTGCAGTTTTAACATCTAAATATGCATCATAAATTGGGTTAGGTTTTATTTGACTTCTTTTTTCAGCAGAATTGCAGTTTTAATTTATTATAAATAAAGCAATGATTTATCGTTTTCTTACTTCTTGTGTAGTTTAATATCCAAATTAACATCTTACATTGAGTGTATACTGATTTGTTGCTTTCATTTCTCAGAATCGGATTTAAATTTCCTGATGAAAATGGCATTAGAGAAGATTGCATTCCTTCCATTTGCTTTCGTGATGGACAACTGGAGATGGGGTGTGTTTAGCAGAGAAATCAGTCCTGATGATTTCAATTCCAAATGGTGGCAACTCAGGTTAGCTCATGTATACCATGTAAAAACGGTCAATTATGAAAGGAATTGCCGCTGAGGTGCTCTTACGTCCAGAAGAGAACATATTCATGCAGAGCTCATGGTTTTCAAGGAAATTCATCAATAGTCCGGTGACACAATAAGGAACTTTAAGTTTCCTGTCTGTCTGTCCATCTATCTATCTTTTTGTCATTCTGTTCCTGTTGTATTCCATATTTTAAATGCTTGCTTTTATTGAGTGCAGTTTTGGTAAGTTACACTTTGTAGTGGTGGTGGTGTGTGTGTGTGTATGCTGGTATATTGCATAAGCGGTATTCTCGGAATATCTTTTTAGCTCACCTGAGCCGAAGGCTCAAGTGAGCTTTTCTGATCAAAATTTGTCCGTCGTCTGTCGTCGTCGTCGGCGTCGTTGTCGTATAAGCGTAAACTTTTCACATTTTCATCTTCTTCTCAAGAACCATGGGCCAATTTCAACCAAACTTGGCACAAAGTATCCTTGGGTGAAGGGGAATTAAGTTTGTTTAAATGAAGGGCCACGCCCCCTTCCAAGGGGAGATAATTATGAATTTGTGAAAAATTTATGGCATTTTTAAAAAATCTTCTTCTCCAGAACCGCTAGGAAAGATGAAACTCATGTGGAAGCATCCTCAGGTAGTCTAGATTCAAGTTTGTTCAAATCATGACCCCCGGGGCAAGGGTGGGGCCAAAATGGCAGACCCAAGTTTTACATAGGAATATATAGGAAAAATCTTTAAAAATCTTCTTCTCCAGTACCACTGGGCTAGGAAAGATGAAACTCATGTGGAATCATCCTCAGGTAGTGTGGATTCAAGTTTGTTTAAATCATGACCCCCCGGGGCAAAGGTGGGGCCAAAATGGCTGACCCAAGTTTTACATAGGAATATATAGGAAAAATCTTAAAAATCTTTTTCTCCAGAACCACTGGGCCAGGAAAGATGAAACTCATGTGGAATCATCCTCAGGTAGTGTAGATTCAAGTTTATTCAAATCATGACCCCTGGGGCAAGGGTGGGGCCAAAATGGTCGTCCCAAGTTTTACATAGAAATATATAGGAAAAATCTTTAAAAATCTTCTTCTCAAGAACCACTGGGCCAGGAGAGATGAAACTCATGTGGAATCATCCTCAGGTAGTGTAGATTCAAGTTTGTTCAAATCATGACCCCCGGGGCTAGGGTGGGGCCAAAATAGCTGACCCAAGTTTTACATAGGGATATATAGGGAAACCTTTTAAAATCTTCTTTTCAAGTACTTCAAAGCTATGACTTGTGATATTTATATAGAATCATCCTCAGGTAGTGTAGATTCTAGTTTGTTCAAATGATGAACGCCTGGAGGGGGGGGGGGGAGTAAATTTAAGCCTGATGTGCTCAGGTGAGCGCTGTGGCCCCTGGGCCTCTTGTTATCTTTTGTTTTCAAGACTTTATAATATTAATTATACTCTAATTTGTTTAGATCAATTACAATTCCTCTCAATGCTTTGAAATTAAAAGGCACAATCTCGGATTGTTACATGTATTTATACGACTTTACATTATTGTATTTGATCATCGCTTTTAAATGATTGGAACACCATAAGAATTATTTTTTTAAATGGAATACTGGTATGTTCTAACCTAGGTGCAAATATCAGGGAATCTCCCCACCTATCAGAAGAACGGAGAGCGACTTTGATCCCGGAGCAAAATATCACATTCCAGCTAATTATCAATATATTTCGTAAGTGGTATATTTCCAGTTTGCAAGAGCAAGTACTCAAAATGAAAATCATATTTTCTAAATTCTGAGCTAGTCTGTTATATAAAAGCATCACGTTATAATTAAGGATAAAATAATTTTTCCCCTTTTCTTTTAGATATTTTATGAGTTATATCATGCAGTTCCAATTCCACAAAGCTCTTTGCAATGCTTCTGGACATACGGGTCCTTTGCACACCTGTGATATATATCAATCTAAAGAAGCAGGAAAGCTGCTAAGGTAAGAGATGCAGTTTAAGAATCAAACAATGACTACACTAATACGTATGTATCTGAATGTTTCTACATTTCATACTATATTTCTTCCATTTCAGTGACATGTTAAGGCTAGGATCGTCCGTGCCCTGGCGTGATGCTATGGAGAAAATAACTGGGCAGCGGAATGTAGATATTGGTCCACTTCTCGAGTACTTTAAGCCCTTAAATGATTGGCTAGAAAAAGAGGTCAAGGACGAACGTAAAACCTGGACCGACGAGTGTCCAAACTTGCCTCCACCTGAACCTGTGACTGGGAGCAAAAGTGATATAAATAGCGCTTCATTTATACAGGCATCCATATATACAATCATCTTGATGATAGCAACAGTTTTATTACCATTCGTAACCTGACATTGATTTTTTTATACTATAAGAATAATATTTTATCCATGCTTTAGGAAAGCAATATATATACTGAAAGGAAAAAGAAACGCAGGGTAGCATAATTTTCGATAAAAATTTGACCATATGACCGAAAATTACGAAAATTGGTCGGAAGGGAAATTTAGTTACTGTGCATCAAAATCAGTATTCAGAATTACTCAACCGTAAAATTTATGACGTCACGTAGGGAAAACGCTAAAAAGCCCAAAACACGTGCAATTTGATAACGACGAGTTTGTCAACAAATCTTGTTGCATTATTTGATGCATATGAAGTATGCACATCTTTTTTCATTATTAAGAGACATTATGAATTTATTGCAATCTTGGCACAGTTTACGGAAGTTCAATGGGGTCTTGTTTTCGAATTGCCTAATTAATGAAAAAGGCAACAACGGTTTATTAAGCAGTCTCTTGTAAATTTCCCCCCATAAAACGTTTTAGCCGTTGTCCGAGAGGGTCTGGTGTGGTTTTCAATCAACCGTAACGATGACGGTAACGCGAAACAGAGTCATGTTACGAGCGGGTTATTCGTCCTGCTATCTCTTAAATCGCCACCTTATATACCACAAAAACAGCCATTTATAGAGTAGATGATTATAATCAATACACCAATACGAAATTTGAAAGAAAACATTTCTGCAATTTGGTTTTTTGAGCCAGTCAACTTACGGTTGTATTCCTCTCACTGGCGCATGCGCGCGCCGTTTGACTTAATTTTTTGCATGGTTACCCATGCTTAATATAGCCAGGATTTGAAAGATAAACACTCTGATGCAATTCCATAAAAAGGAGAAATAAGACTCTGACAAATGCACGAGACAGACATTGAAGATAATGCGAGTTTTCGATTTTCACTTTTGGGGGGTATCGTCATTTGAGCTTCAATAATTTATGAATAACTAGACAAAATCATATGAGAATTTGGTTATATCTTTTTGAAAGATGATTTTAAAAGGTAGATAGGAAAACTAAAAAGTTTTTTAAGAAAAACAAATTTAATTCACCTCAAAAGTTTACCCTGCGTTTCTTTTTCCTTTCAGTATATTTTGTTATAAAACTTTTTTTTCAAAAAATTCTTTTATTTCCTACTTGACTTTTATGAATGGCATATATGGAGATAACGGACAGTATTCAAGCTCAAAGTCCATAAAACAATACAAAATAGGAGCAGAGCAAACACGGACTTCCAAACCATCAGAAGTGGGAGCAGGTATAGTGAGCATCTCCTGCCGGCCATTCACACCCGTCGTGTGCTCCTTTCATGATCAGGAAATAATGGGAAAATCCGCCGACAATTCAGTGTGTATACAATTACCAAACAATTGGTATTAAAACATTTATTTAACATTTGACCTTCATCAACAGAATATGGAGTTTATAATCTCTCAGTTGATTCTACACGCAAGAACATGCTCTACGTATGTACAATTTCTCAAACGAGGTAAATTATTGACAAGTTGCTGAAACAAGAATATCAGTAGTCTCATTTAAAGTCATCATTTCGTAAAATTTATCATGTTTATGGTCGATACAATATGGTCTTGTCAGCAAATACAATTTATTATTGAGTCAAACGCTGATTGACGTTTTTCTTACTAATTGTTAGTCCATTATTTACACAATGAATTGACAAAGGATTTTCCCGTTATATCTCTATCATGACAAGGAGCACACGGCGGATGTGGCCAGTTGGCAGGGGATGCTCACTCCTCCATGGTACTTACTTGTTCTGCTCCTATTTTGTATTGTTTTATGGACTTCTGATCTTGAATACTACTAGTTATTTCTGTATGTTTCATTTATGGACATTTGAGCTTGAAATATGCTGACAAGTTCATTGTATCGACCATAGAACTTACGAAATGATGACTTCAGACGAGACTGTTGATATTCCTGTTTCAGCACCTTGTTTGTTAATAACTTACCTATGATCTAGCGTATAAAATCAACTAAGAGATATAAACCCCGCATACTGGTAAGGTAAATTGCTCTATATATACGTAAGGGGAAGTTGACGATTGAAAAGTTCAGGCCTACACACAAGGATTAAACAGTACAACCCCTTCTCCTTCGGAAGGGGGTGGGGGTGTAATAATTTCGCTAATGACCAATGACAAGGTAAGTAAAAGGAGTTCCATTTTCATTGCAAAAGCTGCTGTCGATGATATCAAAAATCCTGGACTTAAATTCATCGTGGAGAATGGTTGGAAACAGATTGATCGAGTTGAAAAGTCGCAAGTTTTAAAGCTGTTGATTTTGGCAAAGTTTTGTGATTTCAAATACTAGTAGTCCAAAAGTTCCTTGGAATTTTTCAAGTTTCGTTTGATTTACACCACTTCTCGCAAATATTGCTGCACCCCTGAATCTGGCTTTCCCCATTTAAATGTTATAGCCTTGAAAATACTTTAGCGAAATACATCCTTGTTACACCAACTTATTTATCAATAGTTTGCCTTATTTTGGACATTATTCTGATGTAGAGTATGCTTTTGTGTATGGAATTAATTGGACACTAAAACCAAGATGTAGATATTTTAAAATGGAATATTGCTACATAATCAAGGGAAGTCTACGGTAGAGAAGTTTTAGTCATCACATTCATTATTAAGTTATTGTAACATCTTTTGAAATAAAATATGCTGTAGCTTTTACTAGTATTTCGATTTCCGAGGGATATATCAGATCAGCGTGAATGTAGGATTGAGAATCTCTTTTTAACCGATAAAATGTGGAATATACCAGCATACTTAAATTTTAGTTTAATATATACTTTATTCACAGAAATGGATTGAACAGCAGGCATAAATGCCTATGATCGTTCTCTCCAAACTTAAATTTTGATCTTAGCAAGAAACTCTTCGTTTAGAACTTACTTTTTTGAATAAATTCCGCGTCATAAAACTGATAAAAGTACAAAAACAGGTTTTCTAAAAACTGGTATCCATGGAAATTTCGGCAGATTGTTTGAAAACTTGATTTTTCTGCTCTAGAAGTAAATTTATATGGTCCTGATACAAAGTAGGAAGGACATAATCCTAAATTGTTGTTCCTACTCAACCCATCATCACCAAAACGTCATAACGTATTATATAGAATCATTGTGAAAGTAAACCGAAACATTTTTCAATACATCGATCTTATTTCAACTTTTTAAAGTTTCTGATCAAAATTTGTCCGTTGTCTGTCGTTGAAATATTTATGTCCAACTTTTCACAGACTTCTTCTCAAGAACCACTGGGCCAATTTAACCAAACTTGCCACAAAGTTCCTTAGGTAAAGGGGCATTTAAATCATGTTTGTGATATGAAGGGCCCTTGCCTTAATGGGGAAGTATTTCTTAGGGAAAAATTAATGGTTTTAAAAAAAAGTGAACTTTCAAGGTATAGTGGGTCTTCGCTCCATTTTTTTGTAAATCAAAAAATATTTTTTATCGCAAACTTTTAAGATTATATTTCAAAAGAATGGAGCGAGGACCCACTCATATTGAAAAATGTTGTTAAAGTATGAAAAAATGATCGTTTTAGTTCTTTTCTGTCTGTGTATGCTTTTTCATGGGCAAATATTTTCAGTCTTTGTGAGATTTTTGTAAATTATAGACATTCTACATTAAGTACACTTCAATATTAGATGAAATAAAAAAAAATTGGGAAATAATTCAGATTAAATTTTTCACTTCTTATCTGTCGCGCGGGGGTAGGTTGGGGCCACAATGGCCTATCAACAGTTTTACATAGGAGTATATAAGGAAAATCTTTATAAAAATCTTCTTCTCAAGAACCACTGGTCCAGGAAAGATGAAACTCATGTGGAAGCATCCCCAGGTAGTGTAGATTCAAGTTTGTTCAAATCATGACCCCCGGGGGTAGGTTGGGGCCACAATGGCCGATCAAAGTTTTACATAGGAGTATATAAGGAAAATCTTTATAAAAATCTTCTTCTCAAGAACCACTTGGCCAGGAAAGATGAAACTCATGTGGAAGCATCCTCAGATAGTGTAGATACAAATTTGTTTAAATCATGACCCCCGGGGGTAGGTTGGGGCCACAATGGCCGATCAAAGTTTTACATAGGAGTATATAGGGAAAATCTTTAAAAATCTTCTTCTCAAGAACCACTTGGCCAGGAAAGATGAAACTCATGTGGAAGCATCCCAAGGTAGTGTAGATTCAAGTTTGTTCAAATCATGATCCCCGGGGGTAGGTTGGGGCCACAATGGCTGATCAAAGTTTTACATAGGAGTATATAAGGAAAATCTTTAAAAATCTTCTTCTCAAGAACCACTGGTCCAGGAAAGATGAAACTCATGTGGAAGCATCCTCAGATAGTGTAGATTCAAATTTGTTCAAATCATGACCACAGGGGGTAGGGCGGGGCCACAATGGCCGATCAAAGTTTTACATAGGAGTATATAGGGAAAATCTTTAAAAATCTTCTTCTCAAGAACCGCTTGGCCAGGAAAGATGAAACTCATTTGGAAGCATCCTCAAGTAGTGTAGATTCAAGTTTGTTCAAATCATGACCCCCTGGGGTAGGGTGGGGCCACAATGGCTGATCAAACTTTAACATCGGATTGATAAAAATATATAGGGAAAATCTTTAAAAATCTTCTTCTCAAGAACCACTGGTCCAGGAAAGATGAAACTCATGTGGAAGCATCCTCAGGGAGTGTAGATTCAAGTTTGTTCAAATCATGACCCCCGGGGGTAGGGTGGGGCCACAATGCCTGATCAAAGTTTTACATAGGAATATATAGAAAAATCTTTATAAAAATCGTCTTCTCAAGTACTTCAAAACAATGATTAGTGATAGTATAGGAAGGAAATGTTTTTAAAAGATGTTTTTGTCAAGAACAGCAAAGTCATATGCTGTATTAATATGAAGGCATTCTAAAGTAGTATTAAATTCAAGCCCCCCCCCCCCTTTAATAAACTTTTCAGTTCTGATCTGATTTGTGTTTTTTCCTAGACGATTTGCTCAGGTGAGCGATGTGGCCCCTGGGCCTCTTGTTTAAAGTTTCGTAGAGAATTTCCCCGAAATATTTATTCCAACTTATTTTCTGTTGAGGGCTGCAAAAAAGATAGAGGGATAATGCGGGCAGAATGCCTATAGCGTCAGATATTAAGAAACCACATTTGATATGTAAATTGAGCATTTAAATTTACTTCTCATTATTGAAATTCATGAAATTATGAGGGGAAAAAATTTTTGAGAGAAAATAAGTCTCTTTAAAATTTTCATTAAAAAAATATTAGATGGTTTACGTGGGGTTCGAACCACAGCAATAAAAATACCAAAGTATCATACTGCTTTAAGACTAACACGCTAACCACTATGCTACATGGTTCTTCATGATGAGGGGCATTTAAATCATGTTTGTGATATGACCCTTGCCTTAATGGACGAAGTATTTCTTGGAAAGATGCGAATGTTTTGTCATAAAAGTGTACTTTTAAGGTATAGTGAAAATGCATGATTTTTTTGTAAACCAAAAAATTTTTTTTCATCGCAAACTTTTAAATTATATTTCAAAAGAATAAGGACACTCATATTGAAAAATGTTGTTAAAGTATGAAAAAATGATCGTTTTAGTTCTTTTCTGTCTGTGTATGCTTTTTCATGGGCAAATATTTTCAGTCTTTGTGAGATTTTTGTAAACTATAGAGATTCTACATTAAGTATACTTCAATATTAGATGAAATATGAAATATAATTGGGAAATAATTGAGATTAAATTTTTCACTTCTTATCTGTCGCGCTATAGGCATTCTGCCCGCCTTATCCACCCATCTTCTTCATACCATACGTAATCTTTGAGTAGTAAGGGATCTTTTTGAACCCTTACCTGCTACAACACAGGGCTTGGTCTTGTATGGTTTAGCTGATGTGAATGACCAATCCTGCAGTAGGATTCAAACCGACCACGGAAGGATCTACTCCTTACTTCACAACTCCATATCAGACCCTTCAACTGCTGTGCTATTTGGGCTAACCCTATTTCAATTCAGAAATTTCACTGATCTTAATAAAGATGCATTTATGCTAGATTTGCAAATTTTCCCACGGTTATTTGGAAATCCAAATCTTATGTTGCACTTTCATTTGAAATCTTGATAATTAGAGCAGTTTGAACGTTCCTGGAAATCATAAAAATCCGATTCGCTGGAAATTATTTCAGTGAAAATCCTGACATTTCTGATGCATCTTCATTAGGGATGTCAAAATTGTCAATAATTCGATAGGAGTATTCGAATATAGTCGAATATTCGATAGAATAAATACATTTTGGATTATAAAATAAATATCTTCACTCTCCTGTCAAGCAGTATAGATTTTATGCCATTATTTTGGAACAAAAACTTATTATAGAGTTTGGTAAATGTGCAATTATATATGTTTTATAATTATTTAATATATATGAAGAGTATACATCAAAAATAGAATGATTTTTTTGTTGAAAGTTTAAAAGCATGTTCCAGTTTTATTGATCCTGTTACTTAAGTCTATTGGTTATACTGAAAACTCCTACAAATTCAAACCAAGCAGAGCAATTATCTAACTACTTATATAAAAGCAATTACTTTTTGCTTATTAAGTATTATTATCCTGATACATGGTGTATTTACATAAACAAGGGGTCCATGTGTTTACTGTTAAACTGTGTCCTTACAACAATACAAGCTGACTGTAAGTATATACTTTGAAAATAAATAAATTACTTTAATAGATACACTCTTCACACCTTTAAGGTAATCTAAGAGGACTGCCTTTTAATTTTGTAAGACTTGATTCAATTTCTAATAAAACTTTGAAAATCCAGGTTTTTCTCTCTTTTAAATGCTTGTACACTTAAAAAACGAATATTCGAATCATGAAGTTACATGTATATTTGAATATCAACTCATCGAATGAATATTCGAATATTCGTTGACATCCCTAATCTTCATCAATTTTGAATGCTTTTCCATAGGCATTTGGCTATAAATGCATTATTAACCGTCTTTAACTCAGCTTGACATGAAGTCTCAATGTTGACATATTGGGACTTGTTATCAAACAAGAAAACCATGCACTTCAGGCTACAGAGACAGACACTTCTAACCATGAGGAGAAATCAGGCTACAAACTCTTAAGTATGCGTGATTCTGAAGGGCGCTAATAATTCGGTTTCTTCATAGATAAAAATTGAAATAGATACCATATGTTTACATTTATTAAACAAAATAGTGTAAAAATAATATACTTGTGTATATTCAACAAATACATAATACATGTATGTAGCATAAAGTACACTAACTGCATATAATCACCTAAGTATGCCATATACAACAAGTCTGGAATTTACAGCAAATTGAAATGGACATATTTCTCATTTAAATGTAAATATACAAAAAAAAATATTTACACATTAAAGCAAATTAAAACTAATTAAATAAATTCAGTATGCATCCAAGTAATTTCTGGTTCATTTAAAAATCTAGCATTTTGTTTTCTAAAACTTCGAATAGCTAATAATTAATAATAACTAATAACTAAAATCATAATCCTGAGAGCAATAGTCATCAATTTACACTCAAATGTGCATAACTTGGCAAGCTAGTCACTATCAGCCATTTCAAAATCAATTCGTTGAACATGTCAAATCAAACATGGTTTTATATCACAGTCTGACAGCTAGGCAGCTGAGGTTGACTTGCATTCCTTGTAGAAGTTTTATTAGCGTTGGAGAGGAGGCTTATTTTGAGAGAGCAGTTAGACAGGGCGTTGTCTCTGTGGCTTCATTTGAAGATCTGCGGTGGCCTCTGTTTACAAACTCCGTTAAAGTAAGGATGGTTGAGAGCCATTTTAGCTGATACCCTCTGACTTGGTTCATATTTCAGCATTTTCTGTCAACAAAGTCAATTGCATGATCATTCATGTTCTATTCAAGGCAATTATTTAAAAATATACACTGACTGTACATATATGAAAAATACTACTCTGATGTAGCATTTTACAGAATAATTTTATCATCCCATGTACCCTTGCTATTTACCTCTAGATAATTATTTAAATCAAATTAATCAAATACATCATACTTTAAGAAATTCCTATAAATACCCAGTATTTAGAATTAAAGCTACTGTATGTAAAATTGCTAAGACACCAGAATTTAACATGTTTCACTATCTCAGGAAATACTTACATAAGAAATAACCTATAAAAGTAGCTTATTGATCAACAAAAAGCCTTTATGATCTTTTTTTTTCATTCGAGTTTTCATTTTTGCCGAGTTAAATAACCTACAGCCATTAAGTCCAGTCCATCACCTGACAGGTGAGGTACAATGCTGCTGATTGTCTGCTGGGGCCATTTAGGGAAGGACGACTTATAATCAGGAAGCTGGGACACTCCAGGCCATACGCTCTCATCTGGAGTACCTGACAAAGACATCATAAAGTACAGATAAATCTACAACTACTTAAATTCAATCTGTTTGATGTTTATCACTTCAGAACAGCTAAAATCAAACAAAACAACTTTGTGTCATAATCAATAACTTTGTTATAATTCACTTTTATAATAGATTATGAACAGTTAATATGTACTTGAGATTTTAAATACACCCTTGTTTTCATGATTATCATAATTTATATCTATGCAACGTCAATAAAGTGTGTGAAAAATTGTTAATTATTAGGAAACTGAAAATACAAATGTGTACAATAGTGGTCAAAGAATGGTATATTCTCTATGCATTACACATATACATATTTTGTCTCTTTGTAACAAACTTTTTTTCACACACTTGTTTTTACTGACATTGCAAATTATATAGTTAAAGTACATCATTTAAAGAGTTAGCAAGATTCAACTTCCCCAAGGCCAGGATTATTTTCCCTTCTCATAACTAGGACCAGGATTTGTTGTTCATCCTTTTTTGAGAGGTATTTGATTATGATATTAATGTATCTGAGCTTTACCTAGTGTCCTGAATATCCGGAACAGCTGATCTATTTCTGAATCTCCTTGGAACAAAGCACGTCTTGTCATCTGTAAAAATTTTACCAATGAATACAAACTAAATATGGAACTGGTTATACAGTGGCGTGCCAAAAGTGAAGATAATTTTATTTTTAAGGTCTTCCGTTTCCAACGGAAGACCTTCTACTGATTCTGTTGGTAAAGATTATTATTCTTTTTTTTCTTCTGCTTCCTAGACCGCAACTTTGAGGCCTGATATCTCACTCATTTCTCAACAGATTTCGCTCAAATTTTCAGAGATTATAGATGTTTATAAACTCTATCAGAATGCTGAGTAAAATTTCAAAAAGTCACTTCCGGTTTTGAGTTATTTCCCTTGAAACGAAAATGTATAGGCTTTCGTTTCCAGACAAAGGCTCAGAGATGGCTAAAGCTGGAGCAGAAATTCTACTGATTTAAGATAATAGAAGGATTGAAGTTGTGCACATCGGTTTTTGTTTTTCGATTTCTCTATTCAAAATGGCACTATATAGGGGTCAAAAATTAGAACGCTTTAAAGAACCAAAAATTACTCATATTTTGCTTTTTATCTTCTAAACTAAAAATATTTTGCTAAAATATATAGAACATAATTTGTGCAGAATTAAAAGATCTTTCAAATGATATGTCGGAAAAAGGGCTGACCCCTAAACTAAGGGATCTAGAGGGGCCAAAAGTTTTTTCCAGATATTTCAAAATGTATTGAGAATTTGTTATACATCAAAGAAGCAAAGTTGTTGAAAATGTCAAGTTTAATTTAATGGAGTCGTCAAAACACGTCCAGCATTGTCACTTCCAGCCAAAGCGGAAGTAGTCGGAAAACGCGTATTTTTGCCGATTTTGTCAAGTTTTTGGGTAACATATGTCTCTGGGAGCTTAAAAATTAATTTTTCATGCGTCGTTGTCACTTCCGGTCAAACCGGAAGTAGTAAAAAATGGCTTATTTTTGCATTAATTAACATAGTTTTGCAGGATTCAAAGCATTTTTGGGCGTTATTTCTCATTTTTGTTGAAAATGAAAGCTACTTCGGGTCGAACAGGACGGAAGACCTACTCGTTGCTTTGCAACGAGCTTTGCTCTAGTTTATATATTTCATTGAAAACAACATTTTGTAAAATCATAGGTAAATGGTCAATTTTTGTCTAATTTAATTATTTATTTCAGTACTTAAACCAGAAAATGTGTAGTTATCTTTCTTTAAAAGATCATTACACATTTAATATGTAGTAAAATATTAGTTCATCACTAAACATCAGTTCTAAAATTCAAGATCAATGTTGACTATATAATTCATTGTGAGTACATGACTTAAAAATTCATGTCACACTTAAATTACAATATTTTTAAATTATCAATGCTTATCAGATAAAAACTATTGTTTTTTTTAACTACAACAATTTCTTGGATTGTCAAGAAATTTTTGATAAAATCTGTCAAGAAATGTTGTCATACCAGCGATTTTACAAAATATTGTTTTCAATGAAATATATAAAGAAAAAATAAAATTATCTTCACTTTTGGCACACAACTGTACATTAGGGGTGGGACGATACACACATCTTGCGATACGATACGTATCTCGATATATTTCGATATTATGATAAATTATAAAACTATTCAAAATAATAAGTATTTTATTTTTTGTCTAGACATTAAATCTACAAATTATTCTACATCAAATCATGTTAACTTTGCTTTGAAATTAATACTTGAAGTTCATCAATTTCATTGACTAAAACTGTACAAAACAATGATACATGTACATACTATTATTACTATTCAGAATTTGTTTACAAATAGTTGTGTATTTCATCAGAGAACACGGACTAAAAATTCATTTAAAAACATCGATCATATTTACATTATTATTAAATCATTGCTGAAAGTGTGTCGCCAAGTTGAGATTACAAAAAAAGTACGAGATAGATTAACAGTTTATAATATCAAATGTTCTGGAAACGATATTTTCTGTGTATAGAACGCATTTCATACTGAAGTTTTCTTGTCCAATCTCCCGAGCCTGCTAAAAAGTGAAAACGTTTTACCCCTAATCAACAACTTATTAGTTCTAAAGTGTGTCTTTAATATCAAAATAATCTCTTCACTTCGTACAAGCCGCCATTTTCAAAGGACAGGTACTTTCATTTTCAATTTTTGGATGGGTCGTTCGTGTATCGTTTCGTACCGATATTTGAATGCTTGTATCGTAAACCGTATCTTGGAGGAAAATATCGGTATGTATCGGTGTATCGGTATATCGTCCCACCCCTACTGTACATGCAACTCTACACTATTTATTTTGAAATACTTGTCAATGAGTACACAAGGTACTCCTATAAAGAAAACTGGGTTCACATTAAATTTTCAGCTGAAGTACTTTTTGAAGCCTTATTCATTTATGTCTCACCATTTCAGCAAAGATACAACCGAGAGACCAGAGATCCACTGGTGTAGAGTAGAATCGACTTCCCAGGAGGATTTCAGGGGCTCTGTACCACAGGGTCACAACCTGAAAACAAACAAAGGAACTCGTACATGTATATATATAGACAAGAGATCCATGCACCACAGCTCTCAACTCATGAAGCCTCTGCTGTTCTTTATCAGCAGATCTTGTCTTCTATTTTCTTGCATAACACTTTGTTCTCCAACTGTAGCCCTGCCCTACTCCCTATGCTTATTCATTTAACAATTTTACTTCTACACTGAGAGTTCTTGAAATCTTTCGGTTCTGTCAGCGAAACCAATTAAAACAACCAAAGACTGATTATTTTTCATTCTCTGTCAGTCAAAATAACCGGTCAGTGTTGACAGAGGAACTTCGACAATCTGACCAAATTTCCTAAGAATTCCCTATAACCAACCGATCATAATCTTTCAAACGCTTTTTCTATCTTGTAATGGCTGAACGCAAGTGCCAAACTAGTTTGTTGACGCACTAAGGTAAGCCAGGTGAGAAAATCGAACTAGATTAAAAACTTGTGAAGAAAATGGACCCCCATGAGAATTCAGAGAAAGTTGTTATATGACGATCAACACAGCATGAAGTGTGCAGTGTTTATTGACGCTTGGTGCACAATATATTGATATTAAAATTCAAATACAGTTTTCATCTCTTTATTGAATTTTTTTTGGATTGATAGAAATCTGTCTGGACTGACAAACTTCACATGGCAGTCAGTCTAAATGACTGACAATGAAGCTCTTCGATGCTAAATCGATTATAAAATAAATTTCAAAAAATAAAATTGTCAAACTTTAATTTTATTACCAAATCCAAGTGCAAAGAGTATAAAAGTAGTGATGAATGTTGAAAACACTTGTTGATATTTTTACCGCCCTGAAAACGGTAATATTGCAAGTAAAGGACAACATAATTATATAATCTTAAACGTAATTATAATCATAAATACAAGTCTAACATGAGGATAATTGCTTTTACAACTTGCAATTTTAACTAATCAAAACTAATTTTAAGAAATAAATACGTATATGTATTAAATGAAAGGTTAGAGTAAAATACCCATTGCATGGACTTTATTAAAAAAAAATAAATTTTGTTTCAATAGTCCTATATTGTTTAAAGTAGACAAAATACTATTTTCCATTTTTTTAAAAAAGAAAAAAAATTTTTGAATATTTTATGTAAGTAAATGTTTTTTATGTAAAACTGACAGAAATTGAATAAGTTTTAACTTTTCTATATTAATTTTATTGAAGTTCAAATTTCGATTATAATCGATTATTAATCGATTAATTCCCCATCACTACTGACAATGAAGAAAAGATTTCAAGAACTCTGACTACACTACCTGACAACAATATAAATATGACTTCTAATCATTATAATGGCCTTGCTATTCTTGAGGAGAAAAGATGTGAATTAGAGTAAAATCAATCAGGGCTTTGTTGTTCTTGAGAATTTTTTTTTAAAAATAAACTTGTGTAAATAAAATTGCGACACTTCCCTACCCCTGACATAATAATCTGAATAAATTAAAATCTACACAATCTTAGATTGCTTCTATAATGATTTATCATGGTTTTGCCTTTCTTATAATAAATAATTTATTGACTTTATACATATACTGATATTCTGAAATGTATAAATTTTAGGCCTTAAAAAAACCTTTTTATCTAAAAAATCCTCAAGTCATTTAGTCATATATGCACAATGGTTTACAAAGTTTTCAATATGATCGCTTACCTCGTGAGTGTACGTTCTAACTGGTACACCAAATGCCCTGGCCAGTCCGAAGTCTGCCAGTTTGATATTGCCCTCCACGTCTATCAGTAGATTCTGAGGCTTCAGATCTCTGTGTAGTACTCGGTGAGAATGACAGTAGGCTATACCCTGTAGCAGCTGATGCATGTAGCTCTGTAATCAAACCATCTCAAAACATCACATTTAAACATTGGAAACTAAACTAAAGAGTCCATTAAAAGCTTTGTTTTCCAGCAAAGTTTTTAAAACTTATTTATTTCTTAATCATAAACAATCATGAAGATAATGAAAATGGACATTTAATGCTTGCTGTTGTATGCAATCTGAACTTAATGAGAGTGATTTATTCAGACTGACCTTAATAAGAGAAGTAGGTATCCCAGAGGCCGGGCAGCTGTCCATGTATTTCTTGAGATCCTGGTTCAGATACTCAAACACTAGGTACAGCTTCTGTTCACTGTGGACCACATCTAGTAACCTACAACACAAAATTATCTATTGAGGATCAAATGTAGCATCCTGTCAATGTGGACCACCTCTAGTAACCTAAAACACAAAGTTATCTATAGAGGACCAAATGTAGCATCCTGTCAGTGCGGAATACAGACATTAAATTTTAAATCATGAACTACTCAAGTTTTTATATTTTAACATTTTTATATTGTTGTCAGAAAGATTAATATCGACTTATATTTTTAAAAAGTACAGTTACTACAGAGTTGTCGAAATCCATGGTACTGTCAGCAGGGCTTGTAAAAAATTGTCTGGACAAAAAACTTTGAAGATAACATCATTACAAATGAGCATTTGAAAAAAATCTAGCAAGACACAAATTCAATAAAGAATAAAAGATCAGGATGTGCAACTGACAGTGACTTGATGAGATCTGCTCGTGACTATACGTATGGGCCTTGTCAGATATTGGTTGACCGAAGCTGAAGGCCAAGGTTAACCAATATCTGACCAGGTCTGCATAGTCAAAGGTAGACTGAATCCAACAGTCAATATTGTTTTATTAAATGATCAGGAATTTTACAACATTTTTGACACTTTCCTTTTTGTCACCAGCAAATATGGGTGCATTGTATCAACACATCTTTAATATATATTTGATGGCTTAACAACAAATGCTTATGAGTGGCCAATAAGTGAGTATAAATTCACACAAAATACCTGACAATACAGTTGTGATCAAGCTCCTTAAGGAGGGAGATTTCACGGATGGCTGTACTTGGAACCCCCTCCGATTCACTACAAACAAACAAAACAATTTTATTATTTATATAGTTAGATTAAAGTTAAGTTTGGTATGATGTTGTTGCAAAATTCTTAAACTACTAAAGATAACGCCACATGACGCCAGAGGAAAATGAGAGTCTCTAGCTATACACCTACATATCTCTTGATACAAATAATCAAACCTATAACAGGTATAATTTAAGATTTTTCTTTTGCTTCTGTGTATACATATCAACCCAGCGTGCTAAAACTATAACACAGATAAAAATATTGAATAAGACACGCCATAGACCGTGATACAGTGATATTCCACAGCAGTGTCGCATGAAAACAAATACACACGTGTCTAATCTGATTTTCTTCAATGCTACAAGTTGTCCGGTGGTCTTATCCCTTGCTTTATATACCACGCCATAAGTCCCTTCTCCAATCTTCTCTATTTTCTGAAAATTTTCCATGGAAATAAGTGTTTACTTGGATCACATCTGTTCCGGAAGCCGTCTGGTCTTTTGTGTACGTAATTTCCCGCGTTAATTCAGGTTTCATTGATTCAATTGGTCAAAATAAAATCCAAATCGAGGCTAGTAAATACGAGAAGTAGACTCATGCGCGGATCCAGCGGGTGGGGGCCCGAACTCCTCTCCTTTTCAGGGATATGCAGTTATTAAAATTTATACTAAACCAATTTAAAGTGATTGACACCCCCCCCCTCGAAAGCGCAGACCTGTGTTACTTTGGTGCATATAGGAAGCTTGATTTAGAAGTCAACAATACCCCCCCCCCCCCCCCCCCCCCAAAAAAGGGTTTTCACGTTTAAGGAGTTTACGAGTTTTTATTTGTTTGTTTTTCGCTTGTCAAGAAATTTCTGGGTTGGTGTTTTTGGTTTTGGACTATGGAGGTCCCTGCCCCTCCCCCGTCCCCTTTTTTGGGAAAAATTATTGGATCCGCGCGCTTATAACTACTCGTTTTAAACTGATTTAAACTGTTAAATGTTTAGTTATTGCTTGTTTTCTATACCAATAAGATGAATATTTACTAGTACACATGTATAATTAAATGGATACGTGATAAATACGATCGGGTCAGAGCACATCTTAATTCAATTATAAATTCAGGTTGGATATTTTTTTCCTCAAATTTCTATTTGCCAGAAATTGTTGGTATATAGTCTTTATTCTTGAAAAGTTTAATTGTATTTTTTGGTAAGAAATAAATACATGTAATAAAATAAATCCAAAAAACAATAAAAACAACAACGCAACCTAGTTAAATTCAAGACTTCTTAGATCCGCGCCGTATACAGGTATACATTCTACGTAAGAGTAAACAAAATATAATAATTTAAAGCAGAAGAAAATAATTGTTGAAAACGTGATTATTTACCAACATTTATGTAAATTTTTAATTGTAACTCACAGCAATTAAGATACTTTTGCATTTTTATACACTGATTGAAGATTGGGATTGAAATGAACCCAGAAGGAAATTGCTCCCTGTGGACCTGATTTACCATATTAAAACAAATAAAGCACAAAATATGAATTTATTACGACAAATAGCACTTGACGAAAATAATCAGGAAATATATAATCTATGTATATTTTAAATTCGAAAGAAAAATTACTTAAATTCCTAATACAATACTATATATATATATATTTTTACATTTCATTACATTTCTGTACATATCAAAAATGCAATCTCATTTTCACATGTAAATATTAATATATTTGTAAACCACAATTTAGAATGTGATTAGATATAAGTCAGCAATGGTTTTGTGAGCCATTGAGAAAGTTTCACAAGTTTTTACACCCAATACGTTTTATTGACGAGGATTGGGACATCAAATTTGACTCGTCTGCCAGGCACAGGAAGGTGATTTAACTGCACGTGCTGTCTGCTGGAATCATCTGAAATTCTGTCTCTTTCTTCTCTCCCTCTACCCTGCTGCTGTTCCCAAAATGACGACATGTCGGTGGGTTGTGACGCACCATAAGAGCTGTGTTCTGATTGGTGATCGAACGCTGCAGTTGGGTCCGCTCGCTGTGAAGTAGCGTGGGAACTTAAAGAGCTGTAATCCAGTTCCGCAGTAACACTCCAACTCTTGAACAACTCGGTGATACTTTGGTGGAAGTTATTATCCGCTTCACTTCCTGACTGCGGGGCGCATATGTCAGCTACATAACTCTGTCCGACGGTCCCTTCATATCCTATGACGCTGTGCACAACACCACCACGACTTTCCGTTTCTTCGGGTGGGAAAGGGCGAATAGAGGACATCTCATCCACCATTTTCGACAAATCCTCCGCACTGATATTCTGACTGGACGCAAAGTTAGCATACTGAAGCGAGGGATTCAAAGTGTTGAAGTACTGGACGGATGGATTAAACGAAGTTGCGAACTGAATCGACGGATTCTGTAAAGACGGCATCACCGAGTTGGAGAGAGGTAGGGACGGATTCAGGGATAAATTAGTGTGGAACTGAAGAGATCCAGTAGGATTTTCTGACGTGTTGCTGCTCCCGACGTTTGGAAGCAATGAGGTATTGTCCTCGTAGTGAGTGTCAGCAGATATCAGACTACTTCCAGCGCTACCCTGGAAAGCGTGGGGAGAAAAATTAGGAGTTTTCCCAAAAGGTTTTAGACTATTATCTCCCGTCATTTGTTGATGATAGTACAAGATGCTGCTCGGGAGACTTGGTATACCTCCACTGAAGTCACTTCCATTTTGGCTGGTTTCCTCTGGGGTTTGATTGGCTGATGGAGCGAAATCACTCTGCAGAGAGGACGGAGGACACACAGGTTCAGGGTAAGACATCATCAGGGAAGCTTCCGGCCCCGTGTCGATGTTTGACGCGGTAAGACTTCCGGCAGATGAGGACATTGGTGAGGACGGATAACTGGTGTACTGGGATAAGTTTGTGGTTGCTGCCGAGTTAAATTTGATGTTTGACGGTTCATCTAAACCACATTCTGTGGTTGGCGTGTTGTAATGTGGATGGAAGGGTGAGCTCATTGTAAGCGATTTGCCTTGCTTCATACAAGCACTGCAAGACTCCTCACTTTGTGTGGTATTGGTAGTTTGCAGGGAATGCATAGGAATGCTTTTCCCTAATGAACTTACTTCTGACTCCTCATAAGATGGCGGAGGTGCATGAATGTACGTCAAGTGATATGGCGAGTATGGAGGGTGAGCGCTAAGATTGTAAGTCCTTGAGACGTTAGCAATGGAAGTTTCGCTTTCGTCAATAGGCGACAAGTGTTGTCGGAGGGTGTTATTGTTGAAGTCAGAGCTCTGAAGTCGTGATTCTGGTGGACATAATCTCCAGTTGTCTTTGTCCCACACAAACGTGAACTTGTCAGCATTCTGGCGTTGAAGGGCGGTCACGTGGACGTTCTCTATAACACTTGATCGAAGTGGCGTGGTGGATCTAGTTGATCCGCGTACAAAATCTGATGTGTTCTTGATGCTTCTCTTAAAACGCTTGGACATTTTTTCTGTGTCTGGAGTTTTCTCGGTAGAGTTGGATGTTCGTCTGCGATTGATCCACGTGTGCCAGAGCAAGCAGATGGTGACTGTCACCAGGAACACGACAATCAGAAGTACAGGAATGATAACTCCCCATCCCACCACTGCGCCATCTCCTGTATCGTCCTTGGGGGCGGGGGTCACTGAATTGTTCAGGAATGTCCATTTATCAATGTCAGGAAGTAAAGTTAATAATTCCGCCAAGGTAATGTTCAGATCTGCAAATAAGGTAATTCACAAACTTATAAACATGCAATATCAAATTGAACATGATGTTGAAGTGAGCACAGAATTGATACAATGTATGCTGGTAATGCTTCATTAAAAGGTAACCCCTCGAATCACTTGTGTAAATTTCATGCAAGAAGATTTAAGATTAGGAAGTGTTATATTCTTGACCTCTGAGTGCTTTGGTGATGGCAATCTGGTCTTCAATGGCGTTTCCGGTGATGTTGATACCGAGGCTCTCTATGTACACTGACTGGCGGCCATTGGATGTCTGTGATATCACGTGACATGTAACGCTTATAAGCAGCAACACCAATTCAGGAGACCCTGTCAATGACATAGTGATGAAATCAATGACTTGGATCAATTTAAGGAAGCTCTAAACACTGCACTCTAAAGAGTTCTAATTAAGTAATAAATTGTAGGGTAGTTTTATGCGGTTTGAGTGACATGTTTTAGAAGTGAGATAGAAACTAGAGGTATACTGTGAGCAATGAGCTCACTAAATGATACCCCACACCCCTATATATGAATATTATGACAGTGTCCATGTTTTGCAATGGGAAACCCAAAATATGTGTCGGATCAAAAAGTAAAATAAGAGGTCATAATGGTATGATGTAATAAAGATTATCTGAAAGTCTCATCAAATTTCTTTCAGCGGTATAAGAGGAATTGCTGACAAGAGATGGGTACCCCAAAGCGTAAAAGACGGACGGATGGACATCCCGATTACAATTAACCCTCCAGCTTTTCAATCGGGGGGGGGGGGGATAAAAATGGTTATTCACAGTAATTTACACTATTTGTAATAGACTAAAATACTTATCATGCATAGCATTATATTAGACCAAGAATAAGTCATTGAATTCATTATTTCCATTAATCTTTCAAATGTGTGTAAACAACAGTATTCCTGTTCATGCATAGTCCATTGTCTTTAAACATTTTCCTGCAGAATTACGGCAGGTACCCTACATGTATGTTGAATTTAAATTAAATAGCCTCAATATGCAAACCTTTATATCTCCAAGTTCAAAAGGCACTTATTGTAAGTGTTTAGAGCTTCCTTAGTCGCGTATTAAAAGATTGAGGGGCAATATGAAAACCATCTATCCTTCTGTATTCAATAATCCAGAAGTGAAAAAAGAACTAGTAAGTATTGGCCCCTGCTGACAAAGTAGGTACATATGTAACAATATTGTCTTTGTTTGTAAGGCTCGTTATACATGTATAAATTGTATTTTAGAAGAACTTTGATTTAAAGGTGCATAGACACAGATTTGTAGTTAATATTTTCTCAAATTTTCAAATATCACGACTTTCACTTATATGTTGCAATATCATTTTACACGAAAATATATTAAAAATCTTATTTCATCTAACAGTTATTGAAACTTCAAATATTTGGACGGGTTTGATTGACACTTCCTTGCACTTTCACAAATTTTAATTTTATTCTTTATACTTAGGAAAAGTGGCAATCTTGTTGTGTATTAATGAAAAATATTACTACAATAGTACATTTCCATTATATCACTTTACTGTAGTAAAAAGTGTGTGTGTGCGGGGGGGGGGGGGGGGGCAACAGCCTTTCAATGAACATTTTCAATAGTGAAAGTAATATTGGGAAAAGGGGTAAATTGCCCCCCCCCCCATCTGACCCCCTGTTGCTACGTGCCTGTTTTGAGCCATGACCTTGAGAATTGACATTGTGATAAAAATGATAGCATTTAAATGACGGAGGGCAGGTCATTCATATTTGACACAGCATAGGCGTCGGAAGCAAATTGAAAGGGGAGGTGCTAATTGAAAGTCGGGGGGGGGAGGGCTCAGCCAACAAAAAAAGGTAAGCCCCAATTTTCAATGCTTATGTGAGGTCTATCTTTGACAGAAAGTGAGAGGGATAAGCCCCCCCCCCCCAGCCCTCCGACGCCTACTGGCCTATGCAGGGTGCTTTAAGTTTCAAGACCACATTACCATGACCTTTAACAAGGTAATGAATATCACTAGATTTCCTAACGTTTCTTTTAATTCATTTTGTAACCACGCATAGTAAACAGAGATTGATGGGATTAGCGAACGAATCGAGAAATCGGACAATTCTTCCAAAAACATTAACAGATCTAGAAATACAAGGTTAATTTTAGTATATCTTAATCTTTGTTATACCACCGTTTATAAATTATTTCAGACATTTGTGTTTTCGATAATGCATGATCATATTCATAATACAGAAAACTAGACTACTACCTTTTAGGGCCGTCATCTTTCCTTACAGTCCGCTCCACCCAGCTCTCTGGAATTGACCATTAGTGTGCAATCTAGTGAACTGTGTTCACAGGGACGAATTAGGGCGATACACTTCTTCACGGTTCACTGGCCATACCGTCTATATTATGTTGCGATTTGTCTATTGATCAGAGAAGCAAGTTTTTGCATCAGGCTCGAGGAGACAATTTTTCGACATAAGAGAAAGTTCAACTGCGTCAATACAAATATTTTAAAATGCATAACTTGATTCAATATAATGTATATTATATACTTAGTAGTCTAATACTCTCCTAGCTGCAGATCTGTAGCGTTATATATATAGTTATATATATATATTTGTCTTAGTAACAGACCCCGTAATCCAAAAAAGGTGCAATTTACGGCGCCGCGCAAGATTTTTGAGCACTTTTGGGGAGAATTTCTCCACTTTCCAGCATCGGTCAATTAACTACCTTTCACTCCCTAATTCTAGACACATTATTTAACTTATCCGTATATTTTAACCCTTTATAGTCGTCTCTACTAGTGAAAAACTCGCTTGATTAAAATTATTTGTTAGATTGCTGAAAATTCACGTCAAGCGAGTTTGCCTGTAGAGACAACTATAAATGGTAGGGAGGTGGATGAAATATACATATTGACTACAGTATGTGTCTAGAATTAGGGAGTGAAAGGTAGTTGATTGACCGATGCTGGAATGTGGAGAAATTCTCCCCAAAAGTGCGCAAAAAATATTGCTCCGTAAATTGCACCTTTTTGCATTACGGGATCTGTAGCGTTATGCAGTCCAGTCCAATACGAAAATTCGTAATATTACGAAAAAAACGTAAGATTACGAGAAAGCGTAATATTACAAGTTATCGTAATATAAAACTTATATTACAATTTTTCGTAATGTAGTTAAATTACGAATACGCGTAATATAGCAGATGTAAGAAACTATATTACGAGTTTTCGTAATCCAAGACAAATTCGAGCATTGCAAGAAATTGAGTGGCGGGTAGCAAAGTATGACGTTTAATACGAGATGTCACGGGCGATAACTTGTACGACTCTTACTGAGATTTTAATTCTGTGTATTTCAATAAGAACTAGGGCTAATTGTAACGGGAACCGTTACAGATGTTCCCCAAACGCTCCCCATCTCCCTTTTGGTGCCTTATTCACTGTAAGCTTCATTAAATAAGACGAACTCTATGCGTTTTAGACTATAACAATGTTTTCACAGAAGTATATTCAGTATATTCAAATTTATGCATTGCACGCATGCGCATTTGAATGCATGTGCGTAATGACCATATCATCTTGTCTACACTATTTATATACTAGAAATTACAATTTTTATCCAAAAGTATTAAAAAATACGTTTTAATCTAGTGTATTTGTAATTTTACTCATTTCACATGCACGCACGTGCATGCATGTGCATGCCGACCATATTTTCTTGTAGGAGTCTGTTATGTTTGTCTATGTTCTAAATCCCATCCTGTTTGGTTGAAAAACGAGGAAGTTATAGCCATTTTAAGTTTAAACCAATCAGATTGCAGCGCACGTGTATGCGCATGTTTTCACGACAACTGTTATATATCATATTGTAGGACATCCTAATGCATGATTATGTTTAAAATTTGAAAGCATTTCGTCAAAAATTAAAAAAAGATATTGCGATTTTTGTTTCAGCGAATCACAGCAAAGCACACGTGCATGCACGTGCATGCATGTGCATGACGACCATACCTCCTTGTGGGAGTCCATTATGTTTGTCTATGTTCTAAATCCCATACTGTTTCGTTGAAAAACAAGGGAGTTATAGCCATTTAAAGTTTAAGCCAATCAGATTGCAGCGCACGTGCATGCGCGTGTTAACATGACAATTGTTATATATCATATTGTAGTACATCCTAATGTATGCCTATATTCTAAATTTCATAGCATTTCGTCAAAAAACCGAAAAGATATTGAGATTTTTGTTGCAGCCAATCAGAGCGAAGCACACGTGCATGCGCGTCAGTTCGTGCTAATTTGACAGTGTCACATTATCTACACTATTAATATATCCTTATTAAATGAGTTTTAAAATATTTCATCAAAAAATGTTAAAGTTATGGCTATATAAAGTATATCCCTCATTTCACTCATTTCACGCGCCCGCACGTGCATGCGTATGCGCGCAAAATAACCTTCGTGTTGCACACCTTTACTACACACCTATTAACCCTAAAAAGGTTTTAGCTCAGTTGGGTGAACAGTTTCTGAGAACACTCCCGGACAAAAAAGTACCGGAGAACAAAGAAGAAAAAAAAGAATAATAATAACTAGAAACGATCTCGTTGCGAGCAACGAGAGGTCTTCCGTCCGATTCAGGAAAAGAACCTAAAATCGAGCTGAAAAAGTGATAAAAAAATTTTGGTCACAAAGAGGATTGAACCCAGGTCGCCAGCGTGAAAATCCAATGCGCTTTTTTCCTCTTTATTCCCAACACGCTTAAATTACGCGTTTGAGTCCACTGCTCTAAATGTACTTGAATATACTTCTTCAACAATACACCTGTCTAAGAATCACGAAAGGCGCGCCACTATTTATAATTTCGCGCCAAACGCCACAAGTTAATCTGCGCGCCTTTTCTTTGGAATGTTTCATTAAATAGGTGTGATAGCTTCAACAGAATAAAGAAAAAGGAACGTTCTTTAAGCCTAAATTTCGAGGTTTAGAAAGTATATTTAACAGATTGTACATATTCTATATCTTATATAGGTAAGTAACACTAAAGAAGTGAAATGGTAATCATTTTTAACTTTTTTAAGGATTTAGCGGTGTAATAGGCCACTTCCGGTTAAAATGCCGAGGTGTTTGACATCGGCAGTTCTCGGAACATCTATCTTCGTAAACAAAAATGGCGCGTCGTCAAGACGGCCTAGGACGCTATTATAAAACATACACCAAAGGAACAGATTATAACTAATCAAAGGAAAGAATTGATATGATATTAAATAGAAAACACCATACTATAATTTGGGTTGACAAAATATGCAGTTAAAACGATGTTATCTTCATATACACATTACAAGGGTTTTTCCAACTTCTAAAAATAGCACCGATTTCGAAAAAACAAACGAAGTAACTTTTCATTGTAATTTTGTGATTCTCTTAGTATCAGCTAACAGTTTGAGAGAATAATGTATGTTACAATATTAATAGCATGGCGTGTATTGTGGAATCTGCAATAAATCGACAGATGTTGTGTACATATAATCTCTACATAATGTAATATTCTGGAATTGTGCAAACCTGTGGCCGTGCTAAATGATTCTCAGGATTTGTGAAATATTGATGGTTTCTTGAAAAATAATTGAAAAAACAGACTTAAAATATCTAGATACTCATGCAACATACATTAATGTCACGTTCAATTATCCATGTTATCACACATGTACGTGAAATATCTGAGATGATCTAAATAGATCGATCAGTAAAAATAATGTAATTATATGTTTAGAACTTTAACAAAAAAAAATATATCAGCTATGAGAACAAAAAAATATTCTGGGTAAGGTCAGGGTGAATTTTATCTGTGTGGGTTTTTTATTTATTTATTTTTTGAATGAGTTAAGCCGCGTCAGAAACGGGGGGGGGGGGTGTTTCAACATATTTATTTATGCATATTTTGTTAATTTATAATATATGTGAGGCACAATATCGTTTTTAAAACCCTTTGATCAGTGTTTTGCGCCTTCATTGTAAAGTAAATAAAAACTATTAAGAACTTTATACACATGGGAACTGCAAAAATGTAGTTTATTTTGTAAACCCTATCTAGGTCAAGGTCAGTGTGAGAAGAGGTCAATTTTCTGAGCAAATGAATCTAATCTGAATTGAGTTTAGTATGACAATCATCTTTTGTTTATATATGCTCAAGCTCATTAGTTATTTCATTACAACCTACCCTATACCATGAACCAAAAAAAATAATGGCTTACATTTTCAGGGGGTACATCACTCTGATGTAGAATATAGATAAATATTGTGGATAGAATAATTCTTGTTTATGGTTATATTATCACAAATACATGTCACACAAAATTTTCTATGTTTTCTTATTGATCATCCCTACCATAATTTTCTATAGCAGAATAATATAAACGGTTTTATAACAATATTGCTAAAATTTTCACTGAAAGCAGACAAGTTCTCTCGATTACAAGTATTCATATATCACATCTGATGACTCTGAACTAAAAAAAATTGAATGTCTACAATCCTAGGATTTACTTTTACAGATGAATACATGAAACATTAAACTGTTCTCCGGCTTACTAGAAAAATTACATCTCTACCCTTTGTCTATTAAGGGTGCACCACTGGCGAGAGGGTACAGTTACATTAATGAGCACATAAGAAATATGTATGGACAAAATTGCATGAAACTAAGGGAAATATTGCCGAAAGTGTTGTTCATTATAACTATGCTTAATTAGGTCATATTCAAGGTCATGGCCATTACACCCCTAATACCTTAACTACCCGTTTATCCCCAAAGTGAACTAACCCGATTCTTTACACCTTCATGAAAAGGTAGAAATGGTTCGATGAAAGACATGTCTCGCCCTTCGACTGTCAAGGATTCAGATTTCATTTATGTTCAATGTTCAACTTCAAATATCTTTGAGAAAAGAATGTAAATATAAACTCCATTAAACGATCTTATTTAAAAATGGTTTTCTTATTTCTGTCTTTTGTATTAGTTTAATATGACTCAAGTGTATATGGGAAACACAGTGGTTACGTTTGTGAAAAACTAATAAATTTTGAATACTGCTCTAAATATAGTTATGTATACAGTACACCTGCAACAATACACCTGTCTAAGAATCATAAAAGGCGGGCCACTATTCATAATCTGGCGACAAACACCACGAGTAAATATTCGCGCCTATCCTTTGGTCTGATCTATCAAATAGGTGTGATAGCTTCAATGATATTAAATATTAAATAAAACAACTTCTTATCGCCTTTATTTTATTTCGACGTTAAGAAAGTAAATTTAACACATTGCACACACGTATCTAGCCCAATTACACTAAAGCAGTAAAACGGAAATTAAGTTTTAAGATTGTCACTGAATTGC